TTTGATACACATTCACACAACACAACCAGTGAACTTCGATGACTACATCTTGTAGAGGTATTATGTATTTCGGTAACAAACAGTTTACCTTTCTTTCTTAATTGATAGATAAAAACGAGGAACTAATCTAACCTAAAACCCCGATAGTTTAGATTTAATACAAATCAACAACTGTGTTGTTATTGGAGACCATAGAATAGACGATTTTTTTAAAATAATTTAATGTTTCTATTCGAATTGAGTGAATAGAAAAGTTGGTGTATAGATATAAGATCTAATCTAAATCTAAAAATAGGATAAAAGACAATTAATCGAATGTTAGTGTCATTCCAAAATAAAGACGTAGCCTTTTTTTTATAGCATAAGCCGGTAAAAGGTAAGCAATCGGCGCCGCCCATGGACATTCGAAGCACCAAGACGTTACAAGTGCGTTACCGGCCTTTTAGGAATTGAGAATTTGAGGATTGTGGAGGATTTGGGGATTCGGGAGTCGGGGACTAGGGAGGGGGTAATGGGGCCTCCGGTAACCTCACTCACACGAGGAAACACAACGCAAGCGTTGTTTCACGTCGGTTTTCTGTGAGGCCGTAATAGCAAAGAACAGATATAGAGGTATTTAAAACAAATAAGTAGCAAATCTTTTTCATCCATAACCAACACAGAAGATACATTTAAAAACTAAACAAATAACAATTATCTATGGTCAAACAAAAGTGAATCAAGTAGATGCAACTAAATATCTTGTTTGATAACTCAAATATTATCTAGATAACTATTAATGTACTGCATGGCTACAATCAAAGTTATATGCAATGATAAGAGTTGCTGTGTCAATTCGAATGACATTGATAGCGTCAGTGTTTAAATTTAATCTAACTAATTGCATGTTTATTCATTTGATTTACATATTTAGATCGTGTTCAACCTTTTTGCAGTACATAGATGATGAATGAATGAATGAATGAATGTCATTTATTTCCAAGTATATGGTACATTGAGGTTTTACATTAAATATTGTTTGATTGAGTTGTTGATTGTCAATCAACCTGTGGATATGTTGTTGAAGAGGGGGGATTTCTTTTTTATTTTTGTCGTTCTCGGTAGTTACAAACTACCATCGGTTTCATCTATTTAAAAAAAAATTAGCATCATCATATTTTGATTTTTTTCCATACCATAATCTTCCTGATCCCAATTTTTTTCTACAGGATCGAAATGTATTTAGTAGAAATTTTTGTTTTATTGTGTCGAAAAAGGATGCCATCCTTAGCAAATCGTGAAGGGCTGGTTAAGGTTCAATGCCGTCTTAAACATATTTAGGAAAAGCTAAAAGAAAGAATGTCTTCTCTGTGTTATTAGCTTGGGAGTTTTCATTATAATAGAGGAATTCTTTTTCCAACTAACTAGGGGAACGCCGCGCTTAACATAGCCAGCTAAGGATTTGGAAATTCGAACATAATTAGATATATTTTTTCCGTTCCGATCAAATACAAGATCTATTCACGGCAGGAACTAAAACGAGGCTACAATGCTATACTTATCATGTAATTATTTTAAGTTTAAGGGTTCATTCACTTTATTGTATTTATACGTACTTAGGTTTTTTTTGTATGCGAGCATGGGACTGGCGTGCTCCTTCTAGGAAACAAGAACTAAAACGCAGAAATCGACAATATAACTCCATTCATTATAAAATAATTTCTAACAATGAAAACTGTCCGTGGAAATAACTGAGCATTAACATTACTTAATTATGAACGTACCCATTTTCTTTGCAATAGAAATTGACATTGACAAATAAATAATACATTTGTCTGTATAATCTGTGGTCCTCGTTATGCCATTATAGGGGTGAGCCGCTGCCGCGTAAATATTACCTGTGGTTAAAAAATGTAGCAATGGAAATAATAGTGACAGGAAAAGTGATAATATTGATTGGGTATTGTCATTTAACTGTTACTGCGAATACTGCGTACATGGTAACGAATTAAATTGCACAAATTCTAGGTTTATATTAATTTTAAACATATTTTGTCACAAAAAAGGTTTGTCATACAGTCATATTATTATTTTTTTATGTTTCTTTTTACCCAAAACGTATGAAGGTACATTATTTTGAAAAGCCAAATAGTAGTTAAAACCAGTTACCTAAATGTAAAGTTTTGTACTAATAATTGAAACAAAACTAAGGTCGTGATAACAATTCAACATAAAAACCTTGGTATTTGTGTTATTCTGTAGTCTCTGTACTAATTATGATCAATACAATAGAATACTAAATACGGTATTCAATAAAACTATGTTCTAACAGTAACTATAAATATTATAGTACTAACGAGAAAAAATGCAAAATTATTATAATGATAAAATGTTATTTCTTAAATATGAAACCCTCTTCTGTTGACTGAAAGAAGGTCAACAGTCAAAATTATTCCTCATAATCATTCATACAAGCCAAATAAATGTCCGGTGCTGAACATAGGCCTCCCCCAATGACTTCCAGAACGATTGTTTAGTACCAACCTGTATATAACGGCTTCCTAAACCCTCCTTCCTGATGTAGTCTCAAATGAAATAGTTATGGATAAGAACTAAGAAAATGAGTTGCTTTGTTTCCATGGTTGTATCTGCTGTTTATCCTGGCTTACAGGAGTTGCAGCCGTTTTGGAACGTAAAAGCGAGTTTGTCGCGATATAAAAGTATTAAGAATTTCCGAAATTCTTACAAAAGAAAAACGGGATTTTGATATTTTCTTCAGGTTTTCTTAGTTTTAGAAGGTGTTCCAGTTGTACGAATAAACAAAACTTCCTTTGACATTATTTTAACATGTTAGTATTTTGTTTTCCATTTCGTTACTTATGAAACTTTCGTTACTTATGAAATGACTGCACGGTTGGTGTGGTGGCTGGGCAACCGGCTGCCGTGCAACGTGTCGCGGGTTCGATTCCCGCACGGAACAACACTTTGTGTGATCCACAAATTGTTGTTTCGGGTCTGGGTGTCATGTGTATGTGAACTTGTATGTTTGTAAACGCACCCACGACACAGGAGATATTCCTAGTGTGGGGCAACGTTTAAAAAAAAAAAAAAAAAAAACTTCTTTTTGTTTTGTATTTCAGTAAATGAACGTCATAAGAGCACTGAAACTTAATTGGCTACATCTAATTAAGTTGCTTTTAGCCATATGACCCAAAATACGTAAAATTATCCGTCGGTTACTAACAGGAACTTACCAAACATGGTGAATAAGCCTTAAGTCGCAACCTTGCTCAAAAATAGTTATTCTAGTGACCTAAAATGAAAGAAAGTTAAACCCAAATATCAGTGTCTAATATTCAATAGCAAAAGTTTACGGAAATCTAGAACTTATTCGCGACGACACACGTAGGATCAATCAATCATTTTATCTGCATCAAATGTAGGATAATAAAATATCAATCATGCCTCGCTTACATTAGTCAAGTAACTTGCTTAGAAACGAATAGAAAATTTACTATTTTCGTCTATTTGGTTTGTCTGGACATTTTCCAAAATAGTTCAAAATAATACTCTAATTATAACAACTAGGTAAAAAATATCTTTAAATATATTTTGATTGTATTTTATTATGGTTGCATCAGATAATTCGAATGATCGATCATTCATAAAACGATTCGATAAAACACGATGTTAAAGATAACAATTTCAAACAAAGTACCTAACCATCAACAAAATGGTGACAGTCCACTACTGGACTATGTTCTACTCTTTTTTAAAGAAAGGTTTTGTCATAACATCTATTCTTGGAGACAGGAGACCGCAGTTTAAAAAGGTTCAGGATTATCAAGCGCTGTTGTTCGATCTATGTCAAATATATATTTTGTTTATCAATTCTGCTGACATCCAGGGGAAGAATAGACTAGTATTTAACTTAAAAAAAGATTTATTAATTACGGAAGTGCGGTAAATGTATCTAAATACGAGTAATTTCTAACTTAATATCAACGTCGCATGCGAATAATGAAGCACTTAGTTGGAGAAGGCAATAATTAATTCGCGATTATGTTTAAACCGTTGATTTAATCAGTGAAATAAGTAACGATGTAGCATTTATCCATACATTTCTTACTAAATTGAAGTCTTTGTTGAGATATCCGCGTTAAAATGCGTTTAGTATTATATTCCGCCTTATAATTAAATAGGCCTAATACTAAAAGGTACAATATTCATTGCTGAATAATTTGCAAGGTTAATAACTGTTATTTTATTAAATAATAGGTATAAAGGAGATTATTATATCATTACAAGTACTATAGTTATGGAAATTGTATTATACTAATTATATTAGTTTAAAGTATCTACGTCATTCTTCCACGTGTATAAAACGCCTAGACGGGTGAAGATAATACTAGTGCAGGGAATAGGATTGAGATAAATACGGTATTTTGAAATTTATATTTTGATTTTCTTATCCCATGTATCGATTGGTTTTTGGTTTGATAAGATACCTATCTAATTGATTATTATCTAATGTTATTGAATGATTTTATTTATAAATATTTAGACTGATATTGTGCATAATTATTTAGTTAGTATTAGTCATTGGCTAATAAGAATAGTTTGATTAAAATATTATTTAATTTAATAAATTAAGAATAAGTTTATTTAAATAGTTACCGAAGAAACTTCAAAGATTTGTTTACAATAAGTGGAAGTAAAAGACGGTAGGACATTGTATTGTCTGTTGAGGTGGTTGTCGGCTCAAGGGAGCACCTATCAAACTGATAAGACGAGAGATATACGATAAAGAGGTAAATAATCATTGCACTCATTGTAATAAATCAAAAGGTTACCTGAAGATTGCATTCCATCACATGACAACGCATGTTCATACGCATTTCATTAAGGTCATGATCAAAAGAATCGCGCAAACTATCAGATGATATGTAAGCGTACACGGATTTACAAATTTTACTGAAAATGAAATTGATAACTTCACTTGAGAAAAAAATGTCACTAACCCGGTTGTTGTGGCGGCAGCAGAGGTGGCATCGCTTGCGGCAGCGGTATGGAGGGCGGCAGTGGCGCGTACGGGGACACTCCAGGCGAACCCGGCACAGAGTCGCAGCTGGCAGAGCCCAGCGACCGCGGCGGCGGGACCACGGGACTACGCGGCGCCTTCACCACCGGCGGCTCCGGCTGCTCCAGCTCCACGCCGAGCGCCTGCATCCCGGCACGCGCCCGCGCCTCATCCTGCGCCTGGGCACGCCGCATCGCAGTCTGTTGTGCCATCACTCGCTGCCGGTCAGCAGTCAGTATACACTTCTCGCAAGTACAGTTGCGGTACTTGCAGTACCGCTTGTGGCCCTTCAGCTCTATCTTGAGACGGTGGTTCCGACAGCGCGCGCAGTTCGGCGGCGCACGCGGCACGGCAGAGCTGGAGGCGCCGGGCTCGGAGCGCTCCTCGCAATCGTCGGGCGTGCGGCGCCTCCACGAGCCCACGGACACCATGGCTTGGCCCTCGTTTTCGGCCGTGTTCGCGGCGAATTCGACGGGCACGAAACGAACGCACACGCGGTGCGGCGCGCGGTCACGATGCGACTGCCTGCCCCCGCCGCCGGCGCGCTCTGCCCCGCCCCGCGCCCCACCCCGTCGCGCTACTGCATTTATTACTGTGCCCGCATGCAACTATGCAATTTTTTGAACATAAATTATCTACTAGATTCGTAAAAGATAATATTATATCTTTCAGGTATTTCAGTCCATGTGTAGAATATTTTGTTTACAATGACTATGGTCTCAAGGTAAAACAAACTACAAAGTATCCATTATGTAATCAGTGTTTAACTTTGTCTTGAAACTAAGTGTTATTAATAAATAATTTCATTTTTATATTTAAAAAAGATAGGAAATAATTTTAAACTTAGAGGACTTACCTACCTACATTTTATAGTAAGTAACCGCAGTTTGAGTACCTAATTTCCTCGGAATGCGTAACTTTAAAAAGTACCTAAGTAAGTAGGCACATAACTACGCAATGGAGATACTTAACATGGTTTTTGGAACGTCTTTCTCAATTCATTGGCATTAGACTTACTTTCGTTGCAGCTTAAAGGATGCCATTTATTCTTGAATAGCAAATTAAAACTCGTAATTAATCATTTTTACTTTTTTAACGCTATACCTAGACCTAGGTACCTAGAGGTACTATATAAAAATTTTGACCAACCAACACAAACAGACTTAACTGTTAACAAATTATTGCAGCAAATTGACTGTTATGAATGTTGTGATACAAATAACTAATGCTAATAGAGAAATAACTGAATACATTATCGTGTTCGTGTAGTGAAAAAACATACAAACGACATATTTATTGCAGTTTATTGCGCAAAAGTGCACACTAATAAAGACGCTCGACTGCGTGTGGCTGCACTACGATCGCGTGCAACAACGTCGACGCACACACACACACCGTATCTGTGCACCGCGGACACTTCCCGTGTGTGTGTAAAAGATGCGATAGTGTGCAAGTCGCGCGATTTTTACACGTGAAATTTTACAAGTGTGTCTGCGCCGGCGCATCGTTACGTCACAAAAGTTTATGAAATATGCGTTCTACTTGCAAATAAACAGTGTTTGGTAGCCACACTATATTATATATCAACGGCCAATAATTCAAGTTATGACAATTAATTGATTACTATAAACGAATCACTCATTTTCCGTTATTATTGCAATTAGTGCAATTATTGTATGCATTCTTAGTCTAGTCGCATGCTGTTAAACATGGGTTTGGTTCCCGTGTTGCGCTAAGTAATGGGTTCTTCAACGACATACTAAAATCAATGAACTTTAAGAGATTAATTTGATGACTTCATTCATTATTTATTTTATTTAAAATAGTACAAAAGTAGGTAAGTACCTAAGATATTCCAAGCTATTCATATTTTTCCTATAAGAATCTTTGCCTACAAACTTGTTACAGGAAAACTAATAAAGAGACATAATAGATTGTAAAGAAAATACAAACGACCCAATGATTACTCAGCCCAAGTTGAGAATCTTCTCCTTTATAAAATCTGTAGTACCTACTTTGGGTCGAGGTTAAACCAATTCGCGATAGAAAATGTGTAACCGTAATTAAAACTTCGACTGAAAAATGTTTCAATTTAGGTTTCAGAATCTTCCTGTAATTAATTGTTTTACCTGTTCGCACTGATTGTTAGGTGGCATTTCATTAAAAAATATAACATAAACAATAATCAGCTTTCTTTAAAAAAAACTGTTTTTTGGACTCACCTTTATTATTGTTCTTCTTGTATCAGAAATAAGAATATGCACTCCAAGAAAAAAAAACCAAAAAAGCATCGATTAGAATAACTCTTTCTTCCCTCACAGAACGTGATGACACTTAAATTAAAAATTTAATTGTTAAAAACTGTGTCTCGTACAATGCAAAGCGGCTATTCAAATTTTACGATCCGCCATGCGCCATGTTGTTTTTAATATTGTCAACGCATGCGCATCACACATCCCCTTTATCGCGCCTTCCACAGACTATGCATCCGATTTTGTTCTTTAGACACAAGTATTTATTTATTCATCCAAAATATTTTTTGTGCCTTTAATATTTCATAACTGGTAAATCTCGACTTGGCAGGGGCTATGCACCGCCGTTCCCTCAGAACTTATTGAGTAAATTCTTTAAGTCGATTCGAAATTTTTGTCTGCAATTACGCATTTAGAAAATGTAGCAAGAGAGTGACTGGATGCAAGTCGTTTTGAACTGGTATTTCTGGAAGTCGTTGGGTAAGACCTATTTTCCACAAAATGACATTTTTAAATCAATAGGACCCAGCGCAACTTAACGAACAATGACTTAGCTACCTTTAAGAAATAACCTTTAAAAATAAACTATCGTATTTTTCTTCTCCTCTTATAATATCTTCTGATTCACTTCACTGCGGGAACCAAGACAGTCATTCATGTCCCTGTGACGCACCGGACTTCAGTGTTCCGTTGTTGCATGGTTGTATCTACTGTAGATCCTGGCTTACAGGATTGCAGCGGTTTTGGGAGGATGTGGCGGGCTTATCCCATTAAAAAAATACCTTTAAGGAATGACTTTAGGAAACTCCATCAGGTGAATGACTAGCATTCCTTATTTAAATTAAATTAAATGAAAAAATTCCAAAACACCTACCTGAACGCAAAATAATATTTTATTATTCGAATCTCGATTCCATAAATCGTGTACCTCTACAATCGATTCGATTAACATCGAAAACAATCGATGTAGGTATCGATAAAAAGTGATCGACAATTTTGCACTGGACAAGTTTGCGTCAAAGACTGCCGATATTTCTTGTGATACACAAAACAATTTCTGTTAATACGAAAATGGCTATATGAAAGATTCTCTTGAGACAAAAAATGTTGTAAACGTCATTCGATTTGTAGGCTCGCTATGATGACACGAAATTACGGACAAAGGTATATATAGCAAAAAGGTAATGTTTTCAAATAGTGTACAGTAGGCACCTAAGGCCTAGGACAAGATAAAGGAAAATATTTTTTAAAGGCCACTGCAGGGCCCAAACCAAGGTTTGATAATAGAATAGGAAACCTATTTAAATAATACCTTATTTTGTATTTACCAGATTCAAGCAAGCATCGAAATAAAGGACCTCATTCTCGGCAATCTCACTTTGAAAACGACAGTCAAGTAATTTTACAAAACGCATCTTTGAAACACAAAATTTTGGTCACCTCCACCCCGTACATCATTTTATTCCAACCAAAGTGACAAAAAATGGAACAAAATATAGACTCCTGTTGACAAATTAACTGACAGTGAAATGTTTGTAACTTATGTGTGTAATAAAAATAATATGTTTTTTTTGCGAAAGAATGTGTTTTTTTTATTTAAGTCCTTGTTTTGACTAGTGGTTTTCCTTCACAATTTCCTTTAGACATTTATATGTAAAATTATTATGATTCGTGACTTTATATTTAGCCTCATTTACACGATACTTATAATATGTAGACTCAATGTGCATTCAACAATAAATTTTCAGCGGATTTAATCTTCGGGGTCGATAACAATAACAAAGTTCTGGAGTGAATTCGATTTTTAACTTCTTCAGTAGAATTTGAAATTAGCCCTGCATGTTCAATTTCGGTTAATATTTATTTGGGGTCCTGTAAATGCCCCTTGCTCCCATGGTTCTTGATATACTAGGTAAGGAGCGAGGCTATCGTCATGCCCGGGTATAATGCTAGAATCTTAACACGTTAACTGGTACGTAGGACACCGGAGACCGGTGTTTTGCGGACGATTTCCCTTCAACAATTTTCTGATGGCAGTCAAGCTTTAATCTTAATGATTACACTGATCATAACTAACCGAGGTCATTGGCTCTCCCGGAGCTGCGAACGACCTAGAGGGTTACCGGGGCTCCGGTTGAAAGCAGGAGTACGAACGGGGTGGTTTTTAGTCAGTAAGAGTGTGACTCTCCTGCGCCTCACCCAAGGGGGATTAAGAAGATGATTGGATGTTTTTACTTCCTCAAAAGCAAACGATCAACTCTAACTAATTGTTCATAGTTAAGACCTCGACCTCTGTAGTAATTCTACTAACCATGGAACTAAAGGGTGACGGGAAATCGATCGCTTTCCAAGAATTTAATATTTAATAATATTTTAATCACAGATCTCGCATGACGATTTGTACGGTGTAAACATTAACATTGTACTGTAATTCATTATTCATTACTTTATGGCATGCAATTTTTTTATAGTGATGTCCTTAACCTAGTGGATCGATTGTCGATATTTACTAACTGACAGCTTATCAAATTCAAATGTAACACACACTTTATCTTCGTACAGGATCTTACTAGATACCCTGAGTACAAAGTTATCCATACCTCATTTAATAGGTACTATTGAAAAAATTTAATAATACGTGGGTAGCTACATACCTGATACGGAAAAATATTTGGTTTTCTAAGTAATAGCTTCATATTAAACTACTTTTACTCCATATTAACTACTAGTCTCTAAATTAATTACCTACAAGATTGTAACATAATGCCACATCTTTAATTGTCCAAAAGGGAATAACAGCGATGTTATCATATTCGAAGTTAACATCGACCACTCAACAAACTTGCAAAACATTTCCAATGTGCACCATTTTTCCAACACTAGTACGAACCAATCACAACTCAATTATACCACTTCAAACTGCTTTATACACATTTCCATTTCACACTGCCACTTCGTAAAATAAACTCTATAATTTTACATATTTTCTCAAATAATGAGTTAATAATAGACCAGCGACGATAATCTGATTTGACTGAAAACGTTGACTAATATATTGGTTTATTTATTAGTCTGTGACTGACAGTCAGCACTTAACGTAGTGTGTTCTATTACCTCTAGAAGGGTAAGTACTTTTGAATAATCGTCTCTAACTAATTAAGTTTGGTCCAAACTGATAAACTTTTTAATGTATATTTAATTATTTACTGCCTCGTTCGCAGTGGTCGCAAGTGGGTCTGCCGGACAAGGGGTCTCGGGTTCGTTTCCCGAGTCGGGCAAAGTACTACTGGGTTTTTTAAAAAAAGCTCAGTAGTAGCACGGAGTCTGGAATTGTATATGGCAATATGGCAATAGGCCCGCCCCTATTACATGTGATTCATTACATAAATTGTAAAAATTAGGTGTTATATTGTACAGTGGTCTAAAGTGCCATAATGTGCACCTCTGCCTACCCCATCGGGTCCAAAAGGCGTGCTGTTATGTAATATTACATTTTTACAACACAGACAAAAATTTCGTACCTAACTGAATTTTACAGTTGTATAACTTGACGTTGGTTATGCTTGTTTAACGTATTTTAGGGTACCAAAGCCACCCATCCGTACATTAAACCCACAAACCATTGCTTAACCTCTAAGGGTCACATTTCAGATCTGGTGACACAAACTCTTCATTCACAAGACAATGGCGCCGGAATTTTGGTGGCTTAAATATAGAAAGAAAAATTTGAAACCACGTTACCGTCTGACAACTGAGATGCTGATCAGAAAAAGTCTTAGGGAGACCTTCAAGGAATACATCAGTTGTTCTTCAATTTCTGGCGTGAGGCATCTTATTTCTCCGGAAGAACCTATAATGGCACGGTAAATAATTATTAAATAATAGGGAAGACTAAGACTAATTTTTATTTTAATATCCATCTGGCAGATTATTTTAAGACTAGCAAGGCCGAGAATCGAAATGACCCAGCGGCAGTTCTAGGTAAATCATTATTTAATTTTTTTTTCTAATATTTTTTTTCACATAAAACACAATAAATAAAACACAAAAAGTTTAGGGGACCTAACTTGAAAAATAAAAAAGATATGAATTATCAAAATTTCCAAATGGAACAAAATTGGATCGGCGGCCTTTCTAGTATTAAATCATTAGGCACGTAATTTTTATTTTCTTACAGAAACAAATAGGTTCGACGATATATTGATTTCAAATATCGTGTGACGTCACTTCTAGGTACGTTTTACACGTATAAATGACGTTCTCGCTCCCACTCTTATACGTTGATTCGTTTTATCTAAGTATTGTGTTTATTATGTCACAAAAAAATACTTGTCTAATATTTTTAAATACCTAACTGACGGACTAATTAGATTTTTAATTTTCACATTCCGACATGATCCTTAATACATCATATCTTATACTTATACTCTATAGTTACTTATACTTATTATATAAAGGTGAAGAGTTTGTTTGTTTGTTTGTTTGTTTGTTTGTTTGTTTGTTTGAACGCGCTAATCTCAGGAACTACTGGTCCGATTTGAAGAATTCTTTTTATGTTGCATCGTGCATTTATCGAGGAAGGTTCTAGGCTATAAAACATCACGCTGTGATCAATAGGCGTCGAGCAGAGCGGGTGAAACCTCGCAGAAGTAGCTAGTTAAATGATACAATGATGAACTTCTATTTCCAGGACTGAAGGTTATTCAGGAGTTTAACTCCATGTTTTGCATAAATGAACCAACAAACTTCTATTCTTTTATTTTATTATGTATCGTAGAATCTAAGCCCCACAAAACCGTTGCAATTGTTTGACTATGGAAATTGAATTAAACCTTTTTGACAACTAAGGGTCAGTCCCCCTATGTCAAAGTTCTCTCAGTAATAATTAGGTACATTAAAATAGTGCTAGAATTTATCAATTGAATAACCTACTTAATTATAGAACAATAGGTTGCGGTCACCGGTGACCGCTTGGTGTTTAACAGTTTAAATCTAAAAGAATGAAACCGTTTATCGCGCTAATAACAAGAAGTGGTAGTCCAGTTTGAAAAAAATCCATATAGAAATTGAATTTTATTATTGTATGTAACTACTTACTTATATTTAAAGGGTTATAGTCTAACATCACGCTAACACACTAACGTAACGAACGTAAGCAGTTGCTCATGTAATCAGTCGAGCATCAAACAATCCAGGCAATTCCGTGATATGTTACGAATAACAAAATATTCTCACTAGACTCGGGTCAAACACGATACCTGTTATTACTACTACTAATAACACCAACATAACATAACATCACGCCTTTCATCCCCGAAGGGGAAGGTAAAGGTGCACGTTACGGCACTTAATGCCACTGTTCAATGTAACTCCCTCTTATCCATATACCGAATCGCGGAGAACCTAACGGGTTACCGGGGCTCTGGCTTGACGTGCAGGCGTAGGAACGGGGTGATTTTTAGTCAGTAAGAGTCTGACACTCCCTCCCGCCTCACCCAGGCGAGAGCAGTCATTCGATAAAGACAATCAAATTGTGACAGTGGAAGTGAGATAAGGCTCTTTCTAAGTTTAATTCACCTCTGCAAAGTAGGCTTTCACTTGAGCTGTGACTGTGATTTTGATTGTGTCTGTGATTCTGTGATTTCCCCGCGAGAACGAGAACAACTGTTATCTGTTATTTCTATGATAATAAATACACCTCATAACTATTTCTTACAATATAATATTTATTGAGTCTCCTATAAGTAATTGTAATCTTTTTTCTATTACTTGCATGATAATTATTAATGCAACCGTTATCTGTTATGAATAGTTAGGTAATAGCAACTGTTATCTGTTACATCTGTACCTGTTACTTATACCTGTGATGATAAATTCACCTCATGACTATTTCTTACAATATAAAATTTATTGAGTCCTATAAGTAATTTTAATCTTTTTTCTATTACTTGCATGATAATTGTTAATTGGGAACGATTAATTTATGGATGAATTGGCAGCTTGCAGGGCGGCTCCTGTAAGCTATCACTTATCAGACCCGATCTGACACTCGTATTAAATTTATTAGAATACCACACAAACGATATGTGATGTTCACATTTGATAATTCAGTCTTTGAAATATATTTGCTGTATAATGTCACGCTACAGTATACTAAGTTATTGATATGAATATGACACTCTTCATTAATTTTTAAAATTTATTTTTTACTGTCACTGGTAGCAAACTGTGTCCAGTACAACATGGTTACATCAAACATAGAACAGCTACTTCGCTAACCATGCAAGTTTACTTAACGAAATGCGTGTATAATTTTGTTATTTTAATATGAACCTTATACAGTGAAACCTGGTTAAGTGAGACATCAAGGGACCTGCAATGTCGTTTCACTTATAGAGGTATTCCACTTACCCAGTGTCTCAGATATACAGGTATAAATAAATATCTGTCTCATTTACAGAGGGTTTCATTAATAGAGGTGGACTTGGAATTACGTGTGGAATTTGTGGGTAGAATAAAAATGAGTAAACAAACAATATTATCTCAGTTACAGAGGTTCATGCATATAAAATTTACTCGCTGTCTTAGTTATAGAGGTAGCTATGATGGTAAATCATAAGAACAAATCCCAGATATAGAGGTTTACCTCGTCCCAATAACACAGGTAATTCAGTGCTAAAGTGTTGGGACCTCAGTACGAGTTCCAGTTATTGAGGTTTCTCACTTATCCAGGACCCACTTAACCAAGTTTCACTGTACTTATTAATCAGCGCCCCTCTTAAGCTATTCTGCAACTGTCAATTTGAACTTTCGAAACGAACTCAATCATATTTTCGCCCGTCATTAGTCGAGATTTTCACAACCAGAGAGTTCACCTGGATATGTTAATACATTCGTGAGAAAAACTAAATTAAGTATTACATTTTCGGCTTACTCACGTGACTCTTTGTCCATCCCATGCTAGAGGCCCTCTCTGTAACAGTTACGTGAGTAAGCCGAAAACAAAATAAATAGTTCACTTCAATCTTTCCAATTATTTGAAAGTTACAAAATAGCCAAGCTGAGGGGCATCCGCAACACTAGGGCCTTACAAGTGCATTGCCTTTTGAAAACGAGTTCAATTTGGGTGTCCAGAACCTCACTTATAGGTATACATACACCTACTACAGAATAAAAAGAATTGTAACGGAATATCACCCTCACAGATAGTACCCTACGTAGGGTAATTTAAACTTTTTATGTGTAGGTACCTACAATGTATTAATAATTGAATCGGATTTTATATATAAGGCACGGTATTTTCGAAATAAAAAACATTCTATACTTAACCAGCATTTGGGTCTCATTTCATACTCTGCGTACTTCTTTAATGGGACAAGCCCGCCACAACCTCCCAAAACCGCTGCAACTCCTGTAAGCCAGGATCTACAGTAGATACAACCATGAAAACACCGGAACACTGAAGTCCGGCGCGTCCCAGGGACATGAGTAACTGTCTTGGTTCCCGCAACGAAGTGAATCAGAAGATATTATAAGAGGAGAAGAAGAAAAAACTATGGTTTTCACTTCCCTCGGTGAATTACTGCAGGAGACAGAATGAATTAAGCCTAAAGGCACAAAGAAGAGACTGTACAACTGGGTGAAGCCCAGTCGCCAAGCACCACGGAAATTTGACTAAAAACTAAGTGGGTCCTATGTGTGAGCTGTTATACTTGCTTCCAATAATAGGTATGGCAAAAACGCCTAAACGCACGGAAATTCGTTCTAGATTCCACAAGGTCCGTATAATAAACTACACCTGACGAAACAATTAAATTATTTAACATAGTGTTAACTATACTCTGCGTACCTCACAGAATCATCGTGTGAGGTTTCTTGAAAGGCCGCTATAACTCCGGAGCCAAACCGCCTCATTCGTAGCACAGCATGACACTCCCACATGAAAAATATCTTTCTTTCTTTTCAGACTATGTATGTTTGTCATGCTGTGCTGCCTCTTCTCCACCGTACAGTACTATTTGTACCACACCTGGTCGTCAACACTGTCAAACCCACTGGTGGTGTCTGGAGAATCATTTACTTACCCCATCAAGGACATCGACTTCCCAGCAGTGGCTCTTTGCAATACCAACCGGATCAGCAGAAAAGCACTGAAGAAAAAGGCTTCGGAAATGTGAGTATAATTCAATAGGGTAGATGCCTAATTTTTATTTTAATGTCCGTCTGGTAGATTATTTTAAATCATTAGACACGTATTTTTTATTTTCTTACAGAAACGAATACTTTCGACGATATATTGATTTGAAATGTCGCGTGACGTCACTTCTATGTACATTTTATACGTAGAAATGACGTTTTAGCCCCCACTCCTAAACTTTGATTCGTTTTATCTAAATATTGTTTTATTACATTATACGACAAAATAAAAAAATACGTACGTCTAATATTTTTTCATTACCTAACTTACGGACTATTTAGATTTTTTATTTTCATATCCTGTCATCATCCCAATTGTTTTACATCTCAGCAGATTTGTCAATCATTTTGCTAAAAAATATTGTCTAGATTGATGGTCTGAATGAAAATTTTTGGAAGGTGCTCCTGAAAAGCCTAGTCTAGAAATATATTAATTTAGGCCCAATAGTTGCCTTCTGGGCAGAAATCAAGTGTTACATAATTTCGACCCCTACTTCATTACCTATTTAATCATTCACAAAGCCAACAAAGCCAAACAATTACTAGAATCTAGTCTGGAATTAAAAACTCTTCAATGGGGGGCTAAAGTGTTTTGTCACTAGATGGGGCTAATGTAGTTTTTTGTTCTAATCACATCATCCAATCACCACTGCATCAAATATAGAACATCTAATGATGTGAAACTAGCTAATTCCCTATTGGGTGCCATTTGTTCAGCAAAAATACGGTAGCCCCATTAATACCTCTGATTTATTGATCCTAAACTGTGAATTAAACAGCATAGCATAGTCATCCCACTTGCATTTTCTAGACCAAAGAGCAAACACAGGTTTTCCATAACATTCACTTTCATAACTATAATAATTATAGCGGTTTAATACGTTAGAAGTTAGAAAAAAAATCCGAATATACATAATAAATCCATTTATCTTCAGCCGACGCTTAGATTCGCATGCTATGTGATACTATGTTTTGCACTTAGACAACTTACAGCCTGTTCTAATACTTACAATATACTTTCTACGTTAATGTGTAGATTTTTTCTTAGAAACTTCTTTGGGGTCATGGTTAAATAGTTTAAAACAAATGAAAGTGCGTCTTCTTTCTTGGTAGGTGTAGGGACCTTATGTCGAAGAATAAAATTATGAGAAAATCCTAGTGTGTGGTAAAGACTACAACAACAGTTGAAATATAGCAACATCTAAATAGGTATTTATTTATCACAATGCCTTTAATTGTGTTAGGCAAATTCTTAATATTAACCTTCCAATAAGCTACTCTGTTCCGGAATCTGTAAAGTGTAAATAGAAATGCAGGTTCAAGTTGTATTGACTTTCAGGTATCCGAAATTGAGTAAACTACACAATAATTTAACCCTTAATAAATTGGAGCGAATCCTGCAACTTACGGGGCAACTGATTAATTTTGAAAAGAAGCCGTCTAACTATTTTGAAAGTAAATTAATTGACGAATACGATAAGGTATTCGGTTCTGAAACTGTGGATATTATGAAGGCGGTGAGTTTGTACATAGTCTGTATTATACCAAAAACCAAATACCTAAGATCTCATAAACTGTACCTACCTAAATATTTTTTTATAACTTATTTGTCAAAGAGACCAACTCTCTGTATGAGTAGTTGCCAGTGTTATTGCCAAAGAAGGGCATAATTTTTATTGCCTCGTCGAACCAAGCTTAAGATTTCATATTCGGTTTTCACAAAAAGAAAATTGAAGAACCTAGACCCTTTTTTTTTGATGGGGGAATATCGTCCAAGGACTTCTCCCGCCTTGGGTTAGGAGAGAGGGAGTGTCAGACCCTTAGTGATTAAAAACCACCCCTGTTCCTACTCTTACTCTTCGTGCCGTAGCTCCGGTAACCTGTTAGGCCTTCCGTGGCCGCGAGACGATCGCCGGCCACCGTAAGCGCGGGCCTGCGGACGGCGAGCATGGCGAGCGTACGGCGCGTCGCGTTCCGCGCGCGCCGCAATGAGCCATCAGACCACCACACGTGGGGCCCAACAGGGCCGATGCCGATTCGGAGCCGCGGAGAACCTAACGGGTAACCGGGGCTCCGGCTCGACGTGCAGAAGAAGGAACGGGGTGGTTTTTAGTCAGTAAGAGTCTGACACTCCCTCCCGCCTCACCCAGGCGGGAGCAGTCATTCGATGATTTTCACCCCTTAAAAAAAAAGGCCTTCCGCGGCAACCCTAGACCCCTGGCTTGGCAATCACACCTAAGAGTTGATTTTTTCTTTTTTTTTAATATTAGATAGGACCACTCGTAGTTCAGCACTTACTACTTAACCGGATAAAAAAGGTGTGGCCCAATATTTCTATTTGATGAAATTTTGGATCTTTCTTAATCTTGATGACCATACAATATATTTTTTTTATACTAACTGCGTCCATTAAAATAAAAGATTTAACTGATCAATCGGTTAAATCTTTTATTTTATAGAGTTCATTACATTCGTTTAACACAAAAAATAAGTATGTTTTATGCATTAAGTATACTTGTTTAACCTTAGTTAGCGCCAAGCTGTGATGAAATGCTCCTCAGATGTTTGTGGGGAGGCAAGTCAGTGAATTGCAGCAGTATCTTCCAAGTTCGGAGAACTATGCTGGGTCATTGCTGTGCATTCAATTATGTACTGGAATATGGCGCTGCCGATAGGTAAGTTTCAATTTTTCGTACCGTATTTTTCATTCCTTGTGCGTACTGCTAAGGAGTGGAATTCTTTGCCAGAGTCTGTGTTTCCTTAAGGGTAGCAACCTGGATGTCTTCAAGGCCCGAGTGAATGGGTTGCTTATGGGCAGACGTACTCCATCGTAGGCAGTATTCATCGCTTAGGTACCACCAGCCACCAGGCAAGATAGTGGCCAAACGTCGGCCCATCAAACATTAAAAATATTAAAATTAAATGATTTTTATGACATAGAGCTGCAGCCGCAAGTATAAGATTCACCTGATGGCAAGCAATCGTTGGGGAATTAATGATGAGAGGATGATTGGTCCTCGACGTCGGGTATTATTGTAAACCCGTTGTATCACTCCGTTACAAATCACATATGTTATTCTTATTACTTATACTATAACACGAATAAAGCTGAAGATTTTGTTAGTTTGTTTAAACCTCAGCTCTGGAACTACTAGGGGCTTATTCTTGAATTCAATTCCGATCGATCGACATTGGTATTGTGATATTTGGCTCTCTTGAGTTGCAAGTGCAACACTAGCGCCCATTGCCGTCCGTATTGCGTGGATATTGAATGAACTAAATGGTATTGAGTTGGTCTCTATATTCTGTACTCTGAACTAAAAGCTATTTTAACAGCTACGATAGGGGTTGTATACCTCTAGTTTTGTCATTGAATAATGAGATTTTATTGGATTGAAATTGCATTGACATTGAGATTGATTTCAAGAGTAAGCACCCTGGTCCGATTTTGATAATTCTTTTGTGTTTAATAGTACATTTATTGAGTAAAGTTGTATTTAAACCTTTGTTACCCTCAGGCCTAAAGGCACGATAGGTACTGTAAAGAGACAAATAGTGCCCGGTTTGATGAACGGACTGAGAGTGATAATTGACGCCATGATTGATGACTACGCATACCCGCTTCATCAGTATCGACAAGGATTTGACGTAAGTACCATTATTACTGTACCTACAAATAAGTACAAGTAAGTAACAATATTACTGTACAAGTATAAATAAGTTACATTGTGATTATGACTGCCTCATTGGCGGAGTGGTCGCAAGTGCGACTGCCGGGCAAGGGGTCTCGGGTTCGATTCCCGGGACAAGCAAAGTATTACTGGGTTTTAAAAAAAATCTCAGTTGTGCCACGGAGTCTGGAATTGTGCCCGGTATATGACAATAAGCTCACCCCCTACTAGTTTATAAACTTATAGCCTAACTTTTCGCTTATCTACCTACATCGTGTATCAGCTACATAGGTTGTTCTTCTGAAACCACGATTACGTGAAATCCGTGAAATTTGTTCATACTAAAGATACTAAAGTAGTCTCTAAACGCTGGGAATAAGGTCTATAATGAAGTGAGATGAGAGAGGACATTGGTGCCCGCTCGGGATTTTAACTCGTCGAGTACCGGTTTTGTAGACACAATTATAGAACAATAGGTTGCGGTCACCGGTGACCGCTTGGTGTTTGACAGTTTAAAAGAGTGGAGATAGCTAACTAAAGCCCTAACTAGTGGATAATATTATGTATTTTATAAACAGAAACTTAATCAGCGTAGATGACACAGAAACATTTTCAAGAGTTATCAGCAGCGCCATCTATAACAAGCAAGTGTTTTTTATTTGTTCCTATGTCTCTCAAAACAGAAAAAAAACAATTATGAACCATGAGAAGGGTTTTTTATTATATATAAAACAGTCCATTTAGGGCTCGAGCATATTATGCTAGAGATACACAGGTTACATTTATTACAGCATGATGCGTGCTAAGTAAATTAATATACTGGGCGCACTGTCATAAGGAATAGTGTTGCTCCATTCATTTTTTTTGCATGTCAATAAAATGTTTTGAATATTTATTTCTTTTCCGTTTGCAGGTTCTTGTATTTAATTCATATCATTTCGCTGATACGACTGGTGGGAGAGTACTGCAGCGCACAATTCAACCTAGTCAAGCTGAGTACTATCTTTTATCGTCAATCAAACAAGTGGCCGCAGCGGAAGTTCGCAAATACCCTATAAAAACAGTAATAAACCACAATGTTATTTTAATGATATTATATAAAGGCCAAGAGTTTGTTTGGTTGTTTATTAGAACGCGCTATTCTCCAGAAGTACTGGTTCAAATTGAATAATTATTTGTTATAATGGATATTTCCATTCATTGGGGAATTAGACTTTAGGCTATAAAACATTACACTACAATCAATAGGAGCCGTGCAAAACAGGTGAAACTATGCTGGAGTTGCTATATAGTAAAAACTAAGAACAGAGTCTACTTTGTCCTACAAACAAGAGTCGTTCGTTTGTTTCTTCCTTTTCTATATTCCTATTCTGGTAATCATCATATACTGATGGCATATAATAATACAACTGGCATAGCATGAAATTCTTTAAATCTATTAATACGTTTTTTTTACAGAGACAGTGCCTATTTCATAGAGATTTACCTCAGATGTACAACAATTTTTATTCGTATAGTAGTTGCATAACCATCTGTCGAATTCAAACAGTAGAAACTCTGTGCAAATGTACCCCGTACTTTCTGCCAAGTAGTTCTGGATTACCAACATGTACACTGAAGAATTTAAATTGTTTGCACAAATATAAAGGTACTTAAAATCTAGTAATACTAAAATTACTAAAATTTACTGATGGGCAGGAAATATTAACACTAAATTAAATTAAATGAAATCTTATTGCTCCCTTATTTTGATACAATTACTAAACATATTTTACAGAAACATTTATACATAAGACGAAGACAACTCCCAAACTAAATCAGAGATTTGTATTATGGGCCTCCTGTCCCTCCGCAACAGGACACGATAACATCTAAACCGTTAGAATTTGCATATTACGGAGTGAAAGTGGCTGTGTTAATAGGTGTGTGTGTGTGCAAGTATGTGCAAATGTGCGTGTGAAAAAAATTGTGTTTAAAAGTACTTTAGTGTGTAAGTTATTAAATATCTTCGTGCTTAATAAGAAGGTTTTCAGTATCCCCATAAGTGATTGCTGGAAGCCATTTTGTGAGACAATTTCTACATACTTTCCACGTATCTGCGTAAAAGTGAATATTTTGTTGTAATGATTATACAGGGTAACTTGTTACTCAACGTATTCCTCTCAGAAGGTGTTAATACAACTAATTACCCAAAAAATTTGCCCTTAGGTCTCTGGTCCGAAAGTGGCTAGTATCTGAGATATAAATCATTTTTGGTTTTTGTCAAAAATCCAGAATGATCTACAAAAACATCAAAAAATAAAAAAACTACGGATAGCTGCTAAATAAATGGGGATACCTGTATCTAACGCCAAGGTCTTCTACCTTTAACTGTAGCTTGGGCTTCCACCTTCAAAGAGACTGAGTCCAAAGCATTAGCTTATGTCGCTCTTAAATTAATAAATTCCGAAAATAAAGCCACGCATTGAATTTCACGATACATGGTTAATTTCATATTTTTCAGATAAACTACGGTATTTGTATCCAAGAGCCGCCGAAGGTAATGAAGCGCTAAAAGAAGAATTAACAGTCTCGATGTACTGTCCCAACTGCTGGCCAGACTGTGAATTAACCGATCATTCTATCAAATCATACAAAATTAACCTTTTTAGAACAGGACGACCGGGATTTAGGAACAGTTTTCTGTTAGTAACTATTTTAATATTTCTACGTTCTAGCTTAGAGGACATCCAACATCATAGGTAAAAGTTTTGGAAAATACAATCAAGTCATTTTTTCAGTGGAATCTTAGCCACCGTTAGACAACCAGTTTAGTATTATTCTGCGTAAGTTAAATACATATTTTATTTTTATTTAAAAAGTATTTTCTGTCTTACAGTGCCGGCTTGGATCTAACGAACAAAAGCATAATCAGTGTATTCCAACCTACAGGAGAAGGTGTGTTACATAACCTTGATGTGGTTTCCTACTGGTACGAGATACTAAGTAAGAACAAAACATAATAAATTATCGTCATGTTCATTTATATTATCTACCCATACGTCATTAAGCACAGTCACCTAAACATTACCATAGTTCCTATTTAAAAACTTTCCAAATGCATTTTTTTTAAATGACACTATTCCCGAAATTGAAACAGATTTTATTTGTCATTCCATTCTATTTATTTCACTATAACATAAGCACTGTAACAAAATGACGAAATTTGTTCCAGGTAACATCGGCAGTTTCGCGGGCGTGTTGATGGGCATTGGCATCTTTACATTCGTTGAAATTATTTATTTTATGTTCATTCGATTTTTTCAAATAATGTACAGTAATTATGTAACATACAATAAATAAGCCTCACAGAAAACCGACGTGAAGCAACGCTTGCGTTGTGTTTCCTCGTGTGAGTGAGGTTACCGGAGGCCCAATTACCTACCCCTTCCCTAATCTCCCCAATCCCTGAATCCCCAACGATCGTCAAACTCCTAATCCCCAAAAAACCGGTGACGCACTTGTAATGCCTCTGGTGTTCCAGGTGTCCATGGGCGACGCCGATTGCTTACCATCAGGTGATCCGACTGCTCGTTTACCGGCTTATGCCATAAAAAAAATATAATGTCGATAGTACCGAATTTTAATAAAGTCATTCCCATCACTAATAAAGCATTTACAAAGTTAGCTAGTGATAAACGAATAAAAATTGTTGTGTAGGTGAACCAAATAATTACTAACACGATGGATGTTTATTTACGATAGCTTGTACATAGCTGCCTCATTTATTACACGCTTTGCAATAATTATAATTGACTTCAATACAATTAAATGAAATTAGTAAATCCGTATTATCTTATATTCCAATAAAAATACACCAGATACGATGATTATTTCACTATCAATAATATCCAGTCTTATATAAAATGATCAACAATATAATATATATAGTCAATAAATCAGGAATCATCTTCGAACAAAGTACAAGATAAAAATAACTTTTAAGCATAAACATTTGTATAAAATATCAGTGCAACCCAAACTATATTCGAGAATGCGCCTTCATTATCTGTCAAATAAACCGTGGCAAAAGTGGACAAAGGTTTCGAGTCGCAATTTCATTTATTTACGCAAAATGTCTGCAAATTCTCCGCCTGGAAAGAGTGATGGTGAGATATTGTTGCCTAAGGAACACTTCTGGATGATTATATTACGATATTGTTGCAATATTTTGGTTTGATTATAGGGGATGACCCTGTGGATCAGTGTGTGCCGAGCGTCCCGCCAAATCCTGTGGAGAGCTTAGGAGCTCGTATTAGGGACTTGGATGTTGATTCCATTCGTCGGTATTTGGCACAAAAACTCGGATTTTACGAGCCGCCAGAAACAAGCGCGCCTGTTGATCAGGTCTTGGATGAAGTCAACTTAGACGGCATTGTGAAATGGATTAAAAGTGAACGATGCAAAAATATAATCACTCTGGCCGGGGCGGGTATTTCAACATGTAAGTGTAAAAACTTTAAATTCTACAACAAATCCTATGTTATTCAAATATTATCTTGTTTACAATTGAGTTTATTATTATTTACTATCTTGTCTATGTATATGTTATTATTGATTTGCATAACAATGTTTTCTGGTTAAGTTAAATCATAATTTCTAGTTAACCCTTTAAATATTACATTAAACCACAGCATCATTGGAATCAATATTGATAAATTTAATTCAAAATTGTGTTGGGTTCGTAGCAGATAATAATATATTTTACAAACAGGCATAATTAGGTATACTATATCCAAAACAATAATCTTATTGTAGTAATAAATAAGTAAAAAATTCCTATATTGTCTATGAACCTGAACCACAGCTAACAAATTTATATTGCTATAAAAAAGGTAGTGGAAAATTAATGTATCATTGTTTATTCCGCCAAGGTCATATGTGTTTTGATGGAAACTTTATGATTTTGTTGTGTAGCTATGAGGAAGATAAAACATACTCTGTTAGTTTAATCAACTTGTTAACATTAGTAGGGATGATGACAGGGTATAAAAACTAAAAATCTAATTAGTGCATCGGTTAGGTAACGAAAAAGTATTAGACACATATTTTTTTATTTTCTCAAATAAGAAATCATTACTTACTTAGATAAAATGAATCCAAGTTTAGGAATGCGAGATAGCTATGTCATTAAACTGTCAAACACCAAGCGGTCACTGGTGACCGCAACCTATTGTTCTATAATTGTGTCTATAATGACTATACTCGACGAGTTAAGTCAACGTTTTTAGTATAAAACATAAACAAAACTTACTTACTTTTTTGGCTATTTTTGCAAGTTTTTAGTCATTTTTATCTATTTCAATGCAAGTCATTTGTTTAAATGTGACTCTGACATTAAATAAACTTATTTATATTTTTTATTGCTAATTAATTCTCAAGGCATTGAATAATTATATTATATATTTATTATTTTGGTTGTATCTTTCTGGTTAAAAATCCTAGACAAACAAAAATATAAAGCTTATTAAAACAAATATGTGTGAATTCAATATTTCAAAAACAGGAAATATTTGAATACTTGAGTGACTCTTGAAAATGTTCTATCAAAATAATTTTGTTAAAAATAATCTTCATTACAAATTACAGCGGCAGGCATCCCGGACTTCCGTAGCCCAGAAACAGGTCTCTACCACAACCTTCAAAAATATGATCTTCCGGAACCACAGGCTATATTTGAGATAAATTTCTTCAGACAGAATCCCAAGCCATTCTTTATGCTAGCCAAGGAATTGTATCCCGGAAGCTTCAAACCAACAATCTCACATTATTTCATAAGGCTTTTACATGAAAAAGGTATGTCTATTTTTAAAATCTTGTTAAAATCTGTAAAATAGGGTCGAGAACTATATTGCAGACCACTTACAAGCAAAGAGTCATTAACAAGCAAGAAATTACATTCATACTCTTTTAAAAAAAGTATATTCTACAATTTCTCTGATACATATTCCAATCCTGTACGCATATGTGAGAACAATGCAAAGACACGCTTGATGCATTATACAAAACTTACTAAAATAAAACAAAAAACAATCTTAGTCTAACATGCTGCTCACATATGCATACTGACAATTCATAATAATAGTGCTTCTATACAAGAAAAAGGAAACTTTGTTTCAATAAAGAAGAATACAACATATATATTCTTTGATTATTTTTCAGGTCTATTACTTCGCCACTACACCCAAAACATAGACACTTTGGAGCGAGGAGCTGGCATTCCTGAGGAGAAACTAGTGGAGGCTCACGGCACCTTCTACACTTCACACTGTCTCGACTGCCGCAAGGAATATAATCTTGAATATGTCAAAGGTAACTTGTTAATAACCAGAGATGTGAATTATCAAGTATCTGAACAACAACAACAAGATTTAACTTAACAACATACTAAATACGTATTTCCATCTTGTATGTGAAATACTTTTTTAAAATTCCATTTTATATCTTGTATTTAAATACATTCGTTCTGTATCTTAGTATTGGACAAATACTTTTTCGGATAAGATACTTTTACAATTCTTTTTATCAATAAAAATAAAATGTGATCAGATTCTAAGCTCACAAAGGACAATGCTCTACAAAACCCAACATTGGCGCAAAGGAAAAGAAATGAGCCACTAACACAGCAATTTCTTGAATTTAGCCATAAATTTCGATGATGCTCCTGATGTAGCATTTATTAGGATCACACTAAAAATCCCAGGTAAGTTTCATTTGCGTCAAGTCTGGGTTTTTTATTTCGTGAGCATTGTCCTTTAAAATGAGGAAATTTGATTTCATTCAGGTGTTGATTTCGTAGAAAAGTATTTTATCTTAAACAGTATTTTAAAGATACCTATCTTGTATAGTAGTATTTCAGATACCAATGTCAATAGTATTTTGTATCTGGTATCTGAAATACTTAATATTAAAGTATCTTACATTTTGTATTTCAGATACTTTGTATTGGGTATTTTGTGCATCACTGATCAATAACCATTTTCCATTGCGAATGTTACATTATTTCGGTACGGTGCCAATTATCTGATTCTCATCTTAACTCGTCGAGTACCGTCAACATAGACACAATTATAGAACAATAGGTTGCGGTCACTGGTGACCGCTTGGTGTTTGACAGTTTAATAATTGATATATATCTTTCAGAGCGTATATTTGCGGATCAAATCCCAATCTGCACGGATTGCCCAGGCGTCGTGAAGCCAGACATAGTGTTCTTTGGAGAGAGCCTGCCTGACCGGTTCCAACGGTGTCTGCAGGAAGACTTCCAGCAATGTGACATGCTCATCATCATGGGTTCCTCGCTTGAAGTCCAGCCTTTTGCCTCACTTATTGATATGTAAGTTAGACTGTGATTTTAAACTGTTTTACCATCCCATAAAGTGGCCTATGGTTTGCTTACTTTCTTACCAGTCTGTATAAATCTAGGTTCTATGTCATCAGAGCCGCGGAGGACTTAACGGGTTGTCCGGGCTCCAGCTCGAAGTGCAGGAGTAGGAATGGGGTGGTTTTTAGTCAGTAAGAGTCTGACACTCCCTTTCGCCTCACCCTGGCTGGAGAAAGTCATTGGATGATTTTATCCCCTCAAATAAAAGGCTCTATGCCGTTAAAGAGATATGTCATATTCCAATTACCCAGAAATACTCTAAAATCGAACGTACTGGATACTGATCTGTTACTTCATCGTTGTATCTTCAAACTTTTAGCGGTAGCTATGCGTGCGTGTATGGCTAGGTTTTTCCTTGCTATGGGATAGTTAATTAACAAGCTGATGTAAGCATCAGCCACTTGTGGAACCAATTGTTTGGATTCCTTTATTTATGAAAAGAGCCTTTTTCTGGCAATATGTTATTATACAAGCTGATTATATTTGTAAAGGGTTCCGGACTGGTGTCCCCGGCTGCTGATAAACCGTGAGAAGGCAGGAGTAAGGTCTCCGTTACTGCGTCTGTGGGGAGTGATGAGCGGAGGCCTGCAGTTGGATGAGGATGCTGTACGGGATGTAGCCCGCCTTGGAGACTGTGATGATGGATGCCAGGATCTCGCTGATAGACTCGGATGGGGGGTAAGTTATTTTATAAGATACTTTAAATAATGTGCCTGTTCATCTTGAAGGAGTAAATGTAACCTAAGTTCTCAACAGTTTTGAATTCTAAGTATTGACGACTTGCGACTGTGAACCTGGCATAGTTCTTATCCGACCCTTGTTATAGTTGTTTAATTAGTTTGAAACTTGTGCATTGGTTGTGCTTGCGGCTTCCAACCAACGAGGCAGGCTTCGGGCAGTGTAGAATATTAACATAACACATAACATCATGCCTTTTATCCCGAAGGGGTAGGCAGAGGTTCACATCATGCCAATACAATGTAACACTCACTTTTCATTATTTATGTTATGAGTCCCATGTAATAAGGGGTGAGCCTATTGCCATATACCGGGCACAATTCCAGACTCTGCTACTACTGACATTTTTTTTAAATCGAACCCGACGCAACTAGTATGAAGAATATGCAGTATATTTGTTTTATATATTCCTAGTTGCTATCATCAAAAACAATTATTAACCTGAATTTTTTCCTAGGATGAGCTTCGCGCGTTAGTAGCGAGCGACCACGCGCGTTTGGATCTCGCTAATGCTTTGTCTACGCCCCATGCGTCGTGCGTGCCACCTACCCCGACACCCCTGCTCACACCGCCAGCAGACCCCAAACTATGAGTACAGACTTAAACTTTATTAGGTCTTTATCTATGAAATTACCGAAAAAAGAATGCAATTTCATCGATATAACCTATTATTTATTACATTAGTTAAACGGCCTGCTTCACTTAATAACAGTCTAAAAGTATAATTAATTATATTATACAACTATAGCTATCTAAATTGAAATTGTTTATTGACCATATACACCAATAAAATAAAAAAGTACGAAATGTACCATTGCTGATGAATTTTAATTCACATCTACTATGACAAAATTATTATAAAATAGAAATCTCTGGGATAGAAAAGACTGTGCGTATTATTTTTAATCGATAAATCACTTCTTAGTTTTTTTATTTATGCTTATGGAATGTATATGGAATTTCATTAATAAACAGTGAAGTAGGCCTCATGGGTAACTGGATTTTAGAATGTAAACTTTTGTTTTCAGTCAGATATGAGTTAAATAAATAATAAAAAACAATATTTTCCTTGCTAAAGAGAAAATATTGAACGAGAAAAAATTGTAAACTGACTTAAAATCCAAAAATATAATGCTTATGGATTTATTTTTTTAAAAGATCCATAAGAACTAGGTACTTACCATAGTTGTGATCGAAATGGACTTATCATTGACATTTTTAATTTATTGTTTTTATTTTTATTCAACATAATTATTATTCCAGATTGATACAAATTAGAAAAGTAGGTAGAGAGGCTGTAGGTATACCTTTAACTTGTGCCTCAAAAAGTAATTTATTTACGGTTTTTAGTTATTTATTTTTTATTTATTGCAGTTACATTTTGGGTTAGCAGTTTTCATGGATTTAAATACGTTTTATTTGATATTGCATGTTGTTTAGTTTCGACATTAATAAGTTACCAATAGGAATGGGCTTCCCGACTTAACAACATCCAAATTTTTATGTATTTAGTAGATTTCCGAGTACCAATTTTTTATAGGCTACCAAAATTTTTAGTGGGTTACGCTGAAATATTGAAACGTCACTGAATTTTAAGTCGCGCTTAAATATAGTTCAGAGGCCTTAGTAGTTTGTTTTAAGTTTAAAGTATTCGTAACGAGTACGCGTTCGGCGGTCTGATTGGTTGGTTTATTGGCGCTGGCCAATCAGAATGCCGAACGCGTACTTGTTTCGAATACTTTAAACGTGGAAAAAACCTATACTAAGCTCTCTGTCTCTACAAATTCTTTGTAAAATAACAGAGATGGCACGATATTTAAGTACAATTTAAAGTTGAGTAGCCTTTCAGTATTTGGGGGTTAAATGTTTTAATTCTAGAGCTGTGTTAGCAATACTTGTAATAAATATGATATCAATATTTAAATATTTTTGACTAGCTTAGCGCCAATTTTCCAATCATCAGTTAATTCTTAACTGTACAGTAAAATTGTCATTTGACAGTTATTAGTAAGGAAGAATAAGGATGATGACAGGGTATGAAAATTTAAAATCTATTAGTCCGTCAGTAGGTATTGAAAAATTATTAGACACATATTTTTTTGTATAATAAAATGATACTTAGATATCCTATGGGATTGTGGGCTTCATTTCTACGTATAATATGTACTTAAAAGTGACGTCACGTGACATTTCAAATCAATATATCGTCGAAAGTATTCGTTTCTGTAAAAAAATAAAAAATACGTGTGCAATATTTTCAATTAATCTACCAGACGGACATTAAAATAAAAATTAGTCATCTACCCCATTGTCAAATAGTAATATTCAAAGTTATTTTATTCCTCTTATAAAATTTAACTGAGCATTGAAAAATTGGCTCTTAGACAGGAAAGTACTTCTGTAATCATTATTGAATACAAATTGTGTTGCCTTAACTGTGTATTTGTATTGTAGATCAGGGTGATGGTCTAGCAATATATAAAAGATGAATGTAAATTATGGTCGTACATTTTCCTTTTCATAAACTGTTTATGAATTGGGAATATTTTCTGCAATCTGTGACTAAAACATTGCGAACATTACTAGACAAATTGCTATATATTTGGTATGACCGCATTATGGCATTGCATATTGTAGAAAATATTACCTGGCTAGAAGCACTATTAGAGTTATTCAATAATTATGTATACTTACTGGTCTCCTATTGCGAAAGTAAGCTATGAATCTAAAATGATGCTGAAAGCAAGGACTGCCGGAAGCACTTATGTAATACAGGGTGTAAACGGAACATTTTCAAAAACCGAAGATGGTAATAATGAGATTTATTTTCATAGAAGTAAAGAATTAAATGTTTCTTTAATCTATTAATAGTTGTAATCAGCTGCTCAAGGTTGCTGTTGCATGAATAACACGAAAACAATATTTTTTTTCTTCTCTGCGTTTTCGAAAGCGTTCCATTTACACCTGTATAATGCAACCACGATGTTGTACATAGACTACAATATAATTTTTTTGTCGACCAATGGTTGACAACAAGTAAGGGGTTTTGATAATGCAAAGAGTAGTGAATAGCTGGTCTTCGACTAGTCAACATTGCGATTTCTTAGTGACTTACATATGGACCGACAGACATCCACGATATGTTCATATAGTAGTTTTAATGCATGACCAATAATAACAATATTATTTAATTTTAAAATATTTATAAGCCTTTTTATTTTTATAATTTCATGTGATCTTCGTTTTATTTTGTCATATTAATTTGTTATGTGTAACAAATAAACTTGCATTTCACATTCTGCCTTCCAAAACTTCCAATTATATTATTGTATATTGAATTGGTACGGCGTAGTCCTCCACCGATGTCATCGCCTGCTCAGCATAGCCAACCAAGGGACTCTGTGCCAGCTGTAACTCCGAAAAGGGACCCAGGTGATCCTCTCCCTTTCTCGGAAATTCAGAGATGGCTCGGAACCATCGAAACGTTCCTAAGCGAAATCTGCACTACTGTAACGGAGGGTAAAATGAACTCGGAACAAAAAATCCGAGTTACCAATTTCTGCCGTAAAGTGACGAATGGAGCTTCTGAGATGGCCATCCACTATCAAGCCCTGAAGCAAAAATATATACAAGCACATGCCTCTATGCAAAATTTTCAACTCCAACAGGATGTGGTAGAATCGCTTGATCAATTTAAAGCAGTCCTCGAAGCCAAAATGAGTCCAATTGATTCTGACGTTACCTCGTATGCCAATATGGTAAAAAAAGGAGCTGATAACTTCATTCGCCCAGCAAACCTTAGATCTGTCGCAATTTATCCCAGTGATAAAACTAAGACGAGTGATGATACTAAGTCATTGGTACAAAAAATCATCTCTCCCGAGGAGTTGAAGCTTCAGGTTCGTGCTGTAAGAAAAATAAAAAATGGCGGCGTTATTATAAGGACCGAGAACAAAGCCGATATTGACAAGCTGAAAAGCTCGGAACAACTTGTATCATCAGGCTTAACAATCCAAGAACCATCCAAACGCCGCCCCAGGATTGCCGTCATTGGTGTCCCAGCAGCCCTCCCTGAGAAGGAAGTTTTTGAGTGCATCTTTGAGCAAAACCTCTCAGACAAACTACAGGATACCACACGTGAGTCTTTCTTAACACAAATAAAATTGAGCCATAAATCTGGCAAAAAGGAGCGCCCCACTTGCAACTACATACTGGAAGTTCCTGCCGACATTAGAAGGATTCTAATCAATCAAGGCCGTATTTTTATAAATTGGACTTCATGTCCTGTAAAGGACTTTACAATTGTGACCAGGTGCTTTAACTGCCAACAATTCGGACACGCTGCCAAATTTTGTAGAGAAACCAGCCCAACTTGTAACCACTGCGGCGAAACAGGGCACTCATTTAAAGAGTGTCTTAACAAACTTTCTCAGCCCCAGTGTGCGACGTGCAGACGTTTTAAAAGGAAGAGTGATCATCCTACTGGCGACGTGAATTGCCCGGCACGTAAAAACGCAGAAAATAATTACATAAACTCCATAGACTATGAAGGCGCCTAAGAGCGCCGAAACTATCTTTTAATTTAGCACATAAAAGTAGGTTAATTTAATATATATATTATGGCCAGTCAACTAATTAGTGATCTAGACAGTTTTTCCGTGTCTGAAGCTAAAATTTGTAATATTGCGGAGTGTAAAAATATGGTGTATACTGGAGATAATACTTTGAATTTACTTACTCAAAATATAAGAAGCATAACTCGAAATTTTAAAGGTTTAGAAGTTCTCTTACAAAATCTCGACATATCGTGCGACATTATTGTATTGACGGAATGCTGGTTGTCCAAACAAACGACCGACTTACCATTCATTGACGGCTTTAACCGTCACAAAACTGGAAATTTCTTTAACCAAAACGATGGCGTTGTAGTATATATTAAAAGTAATTTAAGAACATTGGTAAGTGAACCCAACTTTCTAAATTGCAATTGCTTATTGGTTACAATTGTCCCTGATACAGTGATAATAGCAATATATAGGCCTCCATCTCAAGCTATTGACGGTTTCTTAGACTCACTTAATATTAACTTAGAAAAACTATCGTCGTTTAAAAATATTATACTAATAGGTGACATCAATATAAATATTGTGGCAGAGGACATGGATGCACATGCATATCGGTACCTGGATATTTGCTCATTTCATGGACTCTTACCAGCTCATTGTTACCCTACCCATCAAAGTGGCTCCTGTTTGGACCATATTCTTATTAAATCAAAACGGCAATCAAAGACATTAGTTACTAACTCATCACTAACCGATCACCAAGCCATTTTACTAACAGTTCAAATTTCTTCACCTAGATTAAATTGCACACGTAGCTCTATGACACTCAACATGACAAGCGTTGAAAATGATATTCGCAGTATAAATCTTGACCCAGTTTATAACTCGTATGATCCAAATGCTTGTTTGCAATATTATGTCGAACAATTACAGTCAGCAATTAAGAAAAATTCGCTAATCAAAGTGATTCCAAGAAGGTATTGCAACATCAAGCCTTGGATCACGCCCGGACTTGTTCGGTGTATTAGACATAGGGATCACCTTCATTATAAATCCAAATGTGCACCGGATAACCATCAACTCACACTGATTTACAAACGATACAGGAACTTTTGTAATAACTTGTTAAAAAAGATTAAACGTCAATATGATAGGATTCAACTGCAAAAAGCCGGTAAAAACAGCAAACTCGTTTGGAAATATATTAAAACCAATGCAATTAGATCCAAAATCCAAGAACCACCTCTTGACCTTTTATCTGTTGAGCAAAACCCATATGACGCAGTGAATAAAGCAAATGACTTTTTCATCAACATTGGTAAACATTTAGCAGAAAAAACTATCCAACAAAATGCCAGATTAACCACCCAATACTCCCACACATCAAACACACAACAGGCACTTCGTACGCTTAACTCCTTTGTGTTATTGGACACCGATGTTGATGAGGTAACAAATATTATAGAAGGGCTAAAAGAATCTTGTGCCGTGGGTTATGATAATATACCCAACAGTCTGCTCAAAAGATTCAAACACTACATTGCCCCTCCTTTAACTCACATTTTCCAGTTATGTTTAGATAAAGGAATATTTCCAAAGTTGCTGAAACAGGCCTTGGTCACCCCTGTATTTAAGAGTGGATTGCGAAATTGTATAAATAACTATAGACCAATTGCAGTACTAACAGGAATTTCAAAAATCTTAGAGAAAATCATTAACAATAGACTAATTAATTATATCGAAAGTAATAAATTGCTTTCGGACCAACAATACGGCTTTCGACCCAAAAAATCCACTGACCAAGCAGTTCACCAACTAACAAATTTTATTAGTATGAACCTGGATAACGGCTTGTATACCTTAGGGATATTTTTAGACCTAGCAAAAGCTTTTGACACAATATCGTGTCCCCTACTCTTAAACAAGCTTGAAAGATGGGGCATTCGAGGAACACAACTACAACTTTTTAGTGATTACCTTAACGATCGCTACCAGTGTGTTAAAATCGATAAATATCAAAGCTCAGAACAAAAAAGCAGTTGTTACGGTATCCCACAAGGAAGTATCCTTGGCCCTACACTCTTCTTAATATATATAAATGACTTGTGTTGTTTATCACTTAATAAGGGTATTGTATTGTCATATGCAGATGACACGGCGTTACTGTTCGCAGCTAAATCAAAGTCCGAAGTCTTCGAGCTAGCTCAAAATGGCTTTAGCACTGTAACAAATTGGCTTCATAAAAATCTTTTAACTTTAAATACTGATAAGACTAAGTACTTATTATTCACTATAAGAAATACTAATCCACCTCCTACTAATTTCCATATTCGCGCACACAGCAATTGCAACTTACATGTAAATGCTGACAGTGCGTGTACCTGCCCTACCTTAACAAAAACGGATCATATCAAATATCTTGGCGTCACGATTGACACAAACCTAAATTTCTGCAAACACATAGACTTATTGTGCGGTAGGATTCGCAAACTAATTTACATTTTTAAATTTTTACGTAACATAGCTGACTTTAAACTAATTAGACAGGTATATTTGGCTTTGTGTCAGTCTATAATTACGTATTGCATTACAGCTTGGGGTGGTGCCGCTAAATCAATGATACTGCATCTTGAACGAGCCCAAAGAGCAGTCTTAAAGGTCGCTACTTTTCGGCCGTTCAGATTTCCCACCCATGAGCTTTATCTGGCATGTAAGGTACTAACAGTCCGACAACTATTTATTTTAAATATCGTATTACTGCAACACACTGAACTTAATTATAATCCTCTCCTTGCAGTTAGAAGAAGAAAGGATTTGGTTTGTGATAACGCCCAGACTAAACATGCTTTTGCTAAACGTTTCTATTTATTTCTAGGACCTTACTTGTATAACAGAATCAATAGAACGGTAAATATTTATGGCTTAAGTTATAATAAGTGTAAAGTAATAGTATCAGAATATTTAGTTAAACTCAATTACACAGACACCGAAAAACTACTAGAAACTATGAAATAGATCTAATAGGTATATGTATTAAACTTGATATTTCCGTTGTTTTAATATTATTTATGTACCTAGATATAACAAAATTACATTTATTGTTACTTAGTCGTAAAAACATATTTTTTTTTTTCTGCTTGGTATATAAATAACTTCGTTTATAAATTGTGTAGATTGTACGTTCTCACAATGACATCCTAATCTCATCTTAGTGGAGTGATGGCCTGAAACACAGGTTTTTACTGAAACCTACCTCAGGCGGGACGTTACAGTTCAAAAAAAAAATACCTAATTGTACTCATCCTAAATTTATCTTTGATTATTTCAATGTAAGTTGTTTTTTATATATTTTTTTTTAAGATTTTTTAATTTACCATAATTGTATAATAATTAGACTACTGTTACATCTTTTGGAAGTTTTTGTGTTTAATAAACGATTTTTATTTATTTATTTATTTATTTATTTTGTAGACATTTTTAAATTCCTATAGTCGATAGTTTTAAACAAGTCTTATGATACAGATATTGTAGGTACAATAGCGTGCTAAACGATCAGTACATACATATTTATATTTGTTAGCGATATAACTATGATTTTCTAAGGGGTGTGTAGTCTTAGTTTTGCAGTGTATTTTAGCAGAATCGCCGATAATATAGCATTGGTTGATAATGTAGTTCCTTAATAACGTGTAAACATGCTTTTAAACAAATACATATTTCACAGTATCAAAAATCGGCTTGATGCATAAAGTTCAGAGAAATAGAATATAAAGCATATTATATTGTAAATCTCCCAAGTTGCATTCTCCAATCAAAATAGACTGCTAGATACATAGTACATCTACTTGTCATATAATATTATGTAACCGAGTTACCGAACGTAAGGGACTACGCAAAGCATATTTATTATGATATATACTCAAGCAATAATACAGCCTTATAATAATCAACTATTTTGAATATAATAAACCATTAAATAATGTTGATGCTGAATACAAATTTTATATAAATTGTAAATTATATAAATCAACCGTTTATTTGTTTTTATTTTTCGATAATATGGACGGATGACTTTGCAATCATAAGTTTGTTCTGAATATATATTTGAAATTTATTTTTAATGTCAGTATGTATTTATGTATGTACTTACTTGCAATTTATATAAACTGTTGTAAGCCATTTGAGAAAATAAACGCATAATATTTATTATAAATATATTGTTTTATTTACTTCATACAATATTTTAGTATTAGTGATCGCTTATTTACAATGAGATTGTTGCTATAATATTATGTAAAATAACCAAATATGAAGCATCTGAATCAAAATTATTTTCATTATAATTAGGAATTTACGACTGAATGAAAAACATTGCCTTCTGCTACATGCCTAACAATTATAAATAAGGCACACTGCACTTTATTATTACAATTAAAAAAGAACTTCTCTAGCAGAAAGCTTAAACCTAACTATCAGATTACATTCTTACTGACACTGGGATAAGCAGACTATGTCAGTAACTAAACTAACAAAGTTTTTTTAAAACTCTCACAAACTCCAAATGCCGTGAAAAATGCCATCAGATGCATTATTATTAACATATTTGTTGGAAAAATATTATTTATTCCTTAGCATCAGTAATTCCCTCCGTGCTTATAGCAAACATGGCTTCAGTTTCAGGCAGACAGGGGCTATCGTAGATTTTGCAAACTCTATTGTCGCCCCTTCCCTTTCGAAGATACAGGCGGGTCGTCGACGCGTGCGCAATTATGTGTCCGCCAATAGGCTTCTTCGTATCAGCGTTGAACACGCCCACTGAGTCAACTTGAGCCACTACTTGGTTCGTTATGACTACTGCTACGCCGAACTGCAATAAGTGTGAAATAGACATTAAGTAATTTGCAAAAAAATTCAGTATAGTGTACCCAATTTAAAGGACAAGCGAAAAAGAAAGAATTTGTAAAACAATCCAATGAAAGCTGAACATTACTTTGTCGTATGTTAGATATTTCCCAATAAGTGCAACTACGCTATGAACTTATATTTTAATAAATAAAGAAAATACATTAATTTTCATGTAAACATGAATTTATTGATAAAATAGGTCTAGTGAATAGGTAATCTATAGGTGAATCTATTATCTTTTCCATCTTATAATAAAAAAAATACACACCTCGTCAGCTAATCTAAGCAGCATCCTCATAAACCGCCCAAGATGTAGTTGTCTGGAGTTAAGCTCGCCTCGACCTGAGTAGTCTGTTCTGTATAAGGCGGTGGCACTGTCCACTATGATTAGAGAATATCTGAAAATGTTAATAAAAAGCCTTAGAACGTCACATTACTAAGCAGTGCCTTTAGCCAAACGCCACTTTAGCGTTTGTCTACAGAGAGAGTACAAATCAAAATGTATGGGGATGTCAAAGTCAAAGTCAAAGCATTTATTTCAATTAAACCATAGTTTGGTACTTTTGAAACGTCAACAAATACAAAATAAATAATAGTCTCTCAGTCAGTCCATCAGTGAAATTAGGTGAATCTAGGTGCTCATTCCAAAACGTAGATTCGAATGGAGAAGAACGAGCAAGAAACTCCATGATGACACTGATGACAAGTGTCAAAGAAGATTGCCCATGGGCATTCTCCTTTACGTCAATTCCATATAATTTGGTTTTCTATTCTACGTGTAGACAAGCGCTAAATGGCATTTGGCTATAGCTGCAAAAGTGGAACAGAACTAAATTAAGGGTGGTCTAACTCTTCAAAATTAAAGTTTTACGCCTGAATACTGAAAGACTACTCAATTTCAATTTTAATTTGTACTTAAATATTGTGCCATCTCTGTCATTCTGCAAAGAATTTGTAGTGTCAGGCATGACTTCAAATTGAGTAGCATTTGAGTATTTCAGTGTTAATTTGAGTTTCTTTAAAAACAAAACCATTGTTTCGTAGCAAACATCTAATACATATTCGTGAAAACCATATTTTCTTTAACTTCAATATAACCCATAAAAATCCTGTCTATAATAAAAACACAAAATATTCCACAACATACCTAGATTCTGCCATCATAGCACAAGCTTGCACTAACAACTGAGTCTGGTGATCAGTATTATACGCGCGAGCATACGCCACATTGTCCAGTACTGCAGCCCCATCCATGCCGTAGCGCTGAGCGACTGCCAGCAACCGCTCCGGACGAAATGTACCTTCTGTGTCTATGTACATGCATTTTCCTTCACCTCCTGATTGTTCTATTGGGAGCTAAAAGGTTACATAGTGAAAATTAGAATTAAAAAAGTCTTAAAAAAGTCAATGCTTATGAAAAAATTGTAGCCACACTTATTGTTGATATATTTTATTATGTAAGGGCTTTATTATTTCTATTTCATAGAAGACTTTGTAAAATTAAATATGAATAATGAACAAAACATCATTTGGGTGTATTACATACATATGTTAGTGGTTAAGGGTAATCTTACAACAATAAATGTCAAACTTTTCTTCTATTTGTAAAAAAACATGATATACATAAATATTAAACAGAAGGACACAGAATAAGGCTCGGATGCATAATTACCTGGCATGTAACTGCCAAAGTGTGACATATTTGAGTTTTCCCAGTTCTGAATTCCCCAAATATTTCCGTAATGGATCCAGTTTCTATGCCTCCACCCAGTAATCTGTCCAGTTCTTTCGAACCTGTAGTCAATTGAATTATTTCAGATCTGGAAAAAACAGAAATGATTTGAAAATATAGTTCAATAGACCTTGTTTTTGGTAGTTAAACTAAGGTTTAATTTATAAATAAAAGATAACCCGTGGTATGCTGGAGTGCAGATTTACACAAGACACAATGTGGTTCCTACTGTGGCTTATATACGGCATACAAGAGGTTAAATAGTGTCTATTGAGTAGATGCTGGCCAGAAGATAAATTATTCATGGTGGACTGTAGTAGTAGAAAAATTCATGAAAATTAAAATAATAACACAATCTCACCTCTTTTGATGAAACTCTGTAGCAGTGGTAAAACCCATAGGCACCAACTTTGACGCCTCCGCTAGTATTTTGTCAGCTTTAGCTTCAGATATACCTTTAATAGTGATCAACCATTTCTTAGGAGCATATGCAACTGATTCCACAGTGTGATATCCTGCTTCTTCTAACTTTTTGATGTCTCCTGATGTTATACCATTGCCCTGGAAGAAAAAGATTAGTGTGTGATTTGTTGTTAACCATCTAGATAAGTATATTTTTTGTTTAACTATTAATATCCCCTAAAACCAACTGACCGACCCAGAAATCAAAGTTGAGATTAGTACTCAGCATATGCAACTGAAGTTTAACACGAGATCACATATTATCAAGCTAATCCTACCTCTAACTTCGTGATAAGTTGAGGTCCACATTCGTCCAAATCTTCATCAACAGAGGCGGTTACCGCAGATGCCGTGGCAGTCATGTTGTCTTACACAAAAGTTCACTATCACCGAGACATTTAAATCTTTGTAAGGAAATTTTACACCAAATCGTCCTTGTCAATACTTTAACTCGAACTGTTTGAAAACTGTGAGCACACACAAACAGTTCAATATTTAGTCACTGAAAATAAGATTTGTTGCAATATTTACAGTAAAATAAACTGAGAAACTAACGAGACTCAAAAAGAACTTCAAGTTTCAACATGCACGAAGATTCAGGATTCAGGATCTTTTTGTTTTCGAAAAAGTCACAAACCAAATGTCAAAATGTTTCTTTTATGTCCCAAATTCCCTCCAAAGTTTTAGTTTTTTTTTTGGTTTCCTTAGTTTTGGAACACTTGGAATTTGAGATAAAAAGCAACCTATTCATGTATAGTTAGTCGTTTTCAATAATTAATAATTTAAAACTATAGTATGTAATTAATGAGCATTTGATTACTTACTTCAGTTCATGTAATTTAATCAAGAAAAGCAATCTGATAAAAGTCTTCTCTTATCTCTCTGTTTCTTTCAGTTGAATTGATTAAGCTGATTAATAATAATAAAGAAACAAAACAAATAGTAAAGAAGGAAAAATAGGAAACAATTTAATCAATTTGTAAAGTATTAATTATAAATTTATTAATTGATAAAATATAATTGTTTCCTATAAAACAACAAGTAGTTACTAACAGCTGATGGAAATTTTAAAAGGTGACATTTTATTTGTTCTGTCAAATTGATCCCGAATTCCCGACCGGTGAAACTGTAATATTGTTAGTGTACGTTACTCTCATACTCTCATTCTAATTTAAAACTCTACCAATAAAACTTTGATCTAAACTTTCTACAGTCTAGAATAGTTGCAGTTGCTTATTATATTCTGCTATAAACTTTAAAGTTGTTAACATGGATGATAATAATCCGGAAATTTCGTTATTAATTGACGATCAAGTGTTTAAAGCAAAGAGGAATGATTTGATGGAACATAGTGATTTTTTTCGAGCTATGTTTACTGGAGACTATGTAGAAAGGGAGCGGAAACAAATATTTATTGAGGTAAGAACTATTTTTCCAGACTTATTGGTGTCATCGCACTTCTAAAGTCGATGATTAAAATTGGCGGTAACTCGAAAATTTACTTTGTTAAACGCTCTTAAAAATATAATTTTACTAAATACATAATCTTGATATATTAATTTCATTATTTAATAACTTTATGGATAACTTTAACAACTTAATATATAAAATCATGGTTTTAGTAACTTAACCTGTTGAAATATTGTACCCTAAAATTGTTAATGCAAAAGTACTCTCTAAACTTCAGAAATAAGGTCTATAATGTAGTTAGTGGAGAGAGGTCACCAATGACTGCTTGGGGATGATGAGCACTCATGCAATTTAAACTACCTGTAAGAAAAATATTTTTCATATAGTGTCCTCTTACAGGTGGTGGACGCTGCTTCTATGAGTATTATATTGAGATACATAAACATAGGTTTAATAGATTTAACAGAATTTGATTTGCCAACCATAGGAGATCTTGCAGTTGCCGCAAGTTTCCTACAAATTACAGAACTGACGAAACAAATAGAATATTGTTTGGAGCAGCAACTAACATTAGCCAACTGGTTGGAAGTTAAAGAAGTAGCATTAAATGCGGCTTTAGTCAAACTGGAGCAAAGCACCGTTATATTTGGACTTTTTTCGTTCAGTAAAATGAAGACTGAGAATATTCAATCGTTAGATAAGTTATATTGGTACTTAGCACATCCGTACTTGAACTTAGAGTCTGAACTAGACGCATTCAAGTTTGGTTTAAAGTGGCTCCGGGAACATGAAATGGGTGCCGACACACTGTTAGTGGTTCTTTGTTGCTTAGACCTGAAAAGACTTTCAATTGAAGAATTAATAGAAATTAGAGAATTAATAACAGATTTTGCCAATAGTTTAGGGGAAAGAGTAGTAGAATGTCTGTATAAATTATTATTGGAACATGATTTGTCACTTGATACTATAAGGCAGAATAAAGAAGAACTATGTCTCTTTTATACTGAAAAAGTTTACACAGAAGTGTTCAATTTAGTAAAAGAAAGTGTTGAACGTAAGCTAAAGTATACACCCACAGTGCCAATGTGGTCGAACAAGGACAAAAAACCAGAAGTGTCACAGAATTATTTATTTACGTACACGGAAGACGCTGGTTTCCAAAGGTGGATGGAAGTCGCTGAACGAAACCTTTGGGGTTGGAATATAACAGCTTCGAGTCCCACTCAGATTGTGGTGGTATGCGGTGAATATGGACGCGGTTCTGGAATTTTTATGAGAGATGTGAAAGTTTATGATGTATACAAAAAGGAGTGGACTCAACATGGAGTGGAACTGCCTGTGAGGAGACATGCAGGTGTTGTAGTGGTAGATGATTCACTATATCTACTGGGAGGTGTTGGTGGATTCCGGTAAGTTTATTTTCTTCTCCACGATTTAGTAAAAAAATCGTAAAAAATAATTTAAAATTGATTTTACTAAAATGAAGAGAGCACACTTTGTGGCGGGCTTTAGAATAAGAAAGAAAATCTGTAAGAATTTTCTTTTGTGACTAGCTGGCTGCAAATAAATGTCAATACTTTAACAACTTTGGCAATTCATTGAAATATGTCAAATACATAATGATTTCACAATATCTGCAAGAATGTAAAAAAATATTTACAAAATAACTAAAATATTTAATTTACCAATACAGTGTATTGCTACGAAATTTAAAATAGTTTTCTATAACAAAATGAAATAAACTAAATTTGTTCCAATGTGTACAATAAGTATGCATGCGAATCAAAATCACATACAAAAAGTTATAGAAAATAAAGATATAATGATCAAAAGCTGCTACAGTCAACATGCAACAGTTGAGAGGTCTTTTCCTACACCAAGGTTCTGAGTCTGTCCTGAAAATCATTTGTTACTCACTCCAAAATAGACAAGTAAGTATACCACTACCTTTATAAAACATGTTTTTTGCTTTCTGGTTTTTTTGCTTACCAAAGTTGTAAGTAGTTATTATTTAAGTATGATAGATTAATAGCAGCTAGATATCCAGGCTTATATTGTTCAGGTCAAATTTAGAATTCTCTTTGCTCTGGAGACTATTCAAACTTGAAAAACTTACAAGAAATATATCTACTCAGAATAAGGTGTTGCCAATAAATTCATGCATGTTTCTATCGTGGCATAAACTTGGCAACACCAGCTGTAGAAATAAGGAATGAATAGAAATTACCTGACATAGTGTTATCATGTTTAATAATGCATTTGTTGATAGACAAATTCTAATTCAAGTTCTAAATCTTACTCATTTTTAATTTGTAGGTCACATACCTCAACAAAATGTCTCCTACAAGCTGGTTAACTGCTAAGAACTTATTTAATATAAGTATGAGAAGCCTTTGTTCCAAACAAGACCCTACTAAGTTACATTTAAGCTCCGTCCAGGTCATTGATATGAAACCTGCAAAACCAGAACGAAAGGAAATAGCCGATCCTCCCGAAATACCAGAACCTCCTAGTCCAGAGGAGCCACTGCCGCGAGTTCCAGTTCCCGGAAATCCAGATGTAACCATTCCCTTCACCCCTGATTTACCCGTGCCCGAATATCCCGAAATCCCCATACCTGTAAAACCTGGATCATTTCCCATTAAAAATTTACCAGGAAATCCAAAACCAATTTTCAAAGAAGTCGTGCCAAGATGGCGCGCACCTGTTATACCAGATTTAGCGACGTTGTTTACCTCCCCATTGGTTCTGAATAAAGTAGCGGTAAACTATAAAGCTGAATATTTAATGCTGACTTCTCAAATGGAAATTATGTCGAGAGCAAACAATTACTTTTATAGAAAATGTGGTTTACCTGAAAGTTCAATTTTACAGCTAATAGACAAGAGAATAATTTCAAAACTCGATGAGAATATGCCTACAAATGACGGAAATATAAATAACTTAATCCTTGCAATCTCAGGGTTGTCTCCCATCCAAGTCGTTGCTATTTTATCGCTACTACAAAATCAAATTTGGCTTATATCAAACAGGGAAAAGATAGCTCACAGTGATTTCAGTTTTGAGATGAACAACGAAGAATTTGATAAAATGATTAAATTGGCTGCAATCTTACAAAGAGAAGTTTTGCATCCCAATAGGTTGGGGAGATGGTGTGTCAAGCAAAGTGAACTTTTGCATTCTAAGTATCCAGAATGAAACTATTAAACTATTCGCTTAGGTTTTAGCCAATTTAAAACATGATAAAAACAACTTATAGTTAGCTTCATAATTTATTCCACATTTTTGTTGTAATGTAAAATCAATAGGTCCATAACTGAAGTATAAAATTGTAATTTATCATTAAAATAAAAATGAATTTGAGGTGTTTTATTTTTGTTTATTTATTACCGCACCATTTAACACGAACAGGGCTTTACATACTGACATTAACCGACTTATGTTACAGGGTAGTGCTAGACTCGGCAGTAGTGTATAACTTAAAGGAGAGGACATTTAGGTCAATAGCGAAATTACCCGACGCAGTGCAGTCGCCCGCCGTCTGCGCCCACGACGACGAGGTGTACGTTATAGGTCATAGAAACATTTATAAATACGAAGAAATTTGCCAAAAAGACCGTTGGACAAAAGTCCTTACAATGGACATCACGCCGACTTACCTGGTGTCTTTTAAAGGGTATATCTATGTCGCTCAATGCTACTTCCCGAGTCTGTATAGGTTCATACCTGGGGACGAACGCGGCTTGCAGCAGATCGCCAGCTTTTGTCATCCTCCTAGGGCTATTTGTAATTTAGGTGAGTTGATATTGTATGTTTTTTATGCATAAACAAAGTTATAAATTCCAGTAGATATCTAAGTATTCGATCCATTGTTACTGTGATATTAGTTAGTTTTAACACTGTTTTTGAGAAATAAACATAACATCACGCCTGTTATTCCCCTGAAATTGTAGGCAGAGGTGCAGATTACGGCACTAACCGTCAAACTCAGAGTAATTCATTATATTAGGTTAAGTTTTTGGAACAAAATCATTACTAAGGAATAGTTTTAAATAAATAACCATTAAATAAATGTCTCTTGAGTATCGTAGTTAATGCTACTGTACAATGTAACAAACTTTTTGAGAAATAAAGTAATAATTTTTGTTATTTAATGACTGTATTGTATTCTACGTTTCAGGTTATCGCCTGATCGCCGTAACATGTTCTGGAGACACATCAACAGATATACTATCTGTAGAAGAATTACGTATAGTGGGTGACGGCCACTATTACCAGAATACCGATGTTCTTTGGTCCGAAACTGGGTCAGAGTTTGGCGTCAACCCCTCGGGGGCATGTGCGGTAGTCATGACAATGCCTGAAATTAATCCTACTGTGTCCGCGTATCATCAGCGGTATATTGTAATGTATGGATAGATTTAGTTACTCATGTTGTTATAATTATAGTCGATTATAAATGTAGTCTATTAAGGTTCAAAATCTTTTGTAATTTTTGTAACGATAAGATCGGTTTTTGCTAAGCAAAATTAATATTAGATATCAGAACTGTTTTCCAATTAGTATTGTTATATTTGACCATAAATTCAGTGTAGTAGAGTTCAAAACTATTTATAACTTTTTATAACGATCAAATCGGCTTTTGCTCAGCAAAATTTAATATTGGATATTTTAATTTTTAATTTATTAATATTAAATATTTTAACGTAAGTACTCCAAAAGATTTAATTTATAAACATTTTTGGCCTGCTAAACCGTCTGGGAAGCGCTCAAAGCGTTTTTTAAATATTATTTTATTATAATTTTTATATTTATAAGATGGATTGATTAGTTATGTAAGTTCGCGACTTCTAGTCTAAATTATTATCATTTTTATTTGGAAGCTTTATTGATGATTATTATGTGCTTATTTTATTTTTAAACCTCTAAAATTGCTAATTACTATCCAATTATCTCAATCGAAAAATAATATTTAGTATGAATTCTTTTAAACATAATATTTCTTTAAAAAAAATTGAATACAATTTGTAAATGGGGTCAGTAAACCAAAACAAAACGCAAAACTGTTATTAATTTACATTTATTACGGTCATTCATTTACAAACATACTCAAAAATTATTAATTAAAAAAGTACATTACAATTTGTACAAGAAATCCACAATGAATGTCAAATAATGTTAATACTCATAATTACTCTAATAACCGTACCTATATAATAATAATAATTAAAAAAAAAACAAAATGACGGCATTATATGCGATCTCAATAAGACTAGTAGTCAATAATAAAATAATCTTTGCAATTAATAGGTATACAATATGAAGCGAAAAGGATTTTAATCTAAAATTATTTTTGTCACTTGTATAAAATAACTTATTGTTAATTGGTAACACTTAAATATTGAAATTTTACAAGAGGACGTTTGGAACATGTAGGGACTGATTCACAATGTCTTATTAAGTTTGTTAAAATATGTAACAAAATCATTAGTTTTATTTCCATTAAGTTTAAGAGTAGGCGATATTCCAAAAGTTTGTCAAAGACGATGAAAATAAAGTTTTATTTCAGTATTTAAGTGTATAATAAAATAATGTTATTTACAATGAACTATAGTAGTTTATGAAACATTTTGAAAAGGACTTTATATAACAGGAATCTGAGATAAAAATAGCCTGAGCATTGTTCAGATTTTTAAATAAGTTGTAATGCCTAATTTTGTTCCATAAACTACATAAATCGAATGTTCTTATTAAATTAATCAATTATTAATTATCTACATAAAATAATGCAGTTTTTGATTTTACAACTTCACATAAGAACTTTTGGAGATAATAAGTAAATATCCTATGTATCATAATATATGTTAAGGCCACTCAATATTATGTATTGTATAAACACATACATATTGAATGATACAGCACCAAATGGATCAGTTGACATCCATATTAGCATGTCAATAATGGCACTCCAAGGATCCAATGTTACCATGTTACTTAAAAAATATTAAAAACAAAACTTATATTATTTAAAAGCTCATATCCATCGCATGTTTCTTAAATCTACTATTAAATAAAAGTGATGCGCAGTATGAAAGCATTTTATTTTGTCAAAAATGTATTTGGCATTTACATTCATACGAAAATTAATGGAAGCACTAATATAATAATTAGATCTAAAAACAATATTTTGTGAAGAATAGATTATTAATTTATTACGAATGCATTTTCTTGGTACAAAAATATCTATACACTATAAAACTTTAGCACATCGTCAAGGCACGTAACCAAGGCCCTCTATGTCGAAACTAATTAAATAATTATTAATTATGTTGTACGAATATTACTTGAAACTAGGTTTTAAATCTTGCACGTTAAGATATACATTTCTTTTACCTATGTCAAAGATTTTATTAAATATTTTATAGGCTTACTTTACTAAGGTCGTTAGTCGGTTTTACGTCCATCCTCCGGTCAGTTTATGGAAGAGGTCTTCGTTCAGCGTTTGGTTGGCATCCTTGGAGCGCATCGAGAGGAAGATGTAGCCTCCAATGAATTCGTGGACCACTTTACAGTCTGCGGACTGCACTGAGAATATTATGTTGCCTTCCTGGAATTGCACCATCATGTGTTTGATCTCCCAGTTTACGTTCCAAGCCTGAAATTAAAATATAAATTGGTTAATAGTTGTTTTTGATAAGCAACCTTATTGAGCAATGTAATATTAGGTAAAAACGAATTGTAGTACTTTTAACAACTATCAACCCACATTTAACAAGTGTGGTGATTACTGCTCAAACCTCCATGTGAGAAGAGGCCTTTGGTCAGCAGTGGCCACTTATAGGCTATTAATGATGACTTTTGAGAAACAAAAAGAGAAGTGTGCCAAACAACTTATGAATCAACAGATAAAAAAGTTAAAACATTATATTCCATAACAACAGTGAGTGAGGTTACCGGAGGCCCAATTACCCTCCCCTTCACTTATCTCCCCAATTCCTGAATCCCCAACGATCCTCAAACTCGTAATCCCCAAAAAGCCGGTAACGCACTTGTAACGCCTCTCGTGTTCCAGCCTCCAGGTGTCCATGGGCGACGCCACTTGCTTATCATCAGGTGATCCTCGTCTGCTCGTTTACCGGCTTATGCCATAAAAATAAAAAAAAAGAACAAAAAAAGCGCCTTTATAAACTATCTATTATTGTCTACCTACTTTCCGTGACGCGAAATTCTTGCTAGACGCCAAGTATTTTTTGAGCAGGCAATAAGTTAGATATTATATTGTTTTTACTAACCTTCATATCACTAAATCGCCACGTCTTAATATGGTCGCCGGTATTAGGGTCAAGCCGCATGATCCTATTGTTGGCAATGCTAATGATCTCGTCCCTCTTATGTCCCATAAAACGGACGACAAACATAGTCTGGCCGTAGTCTCTGAGATTCTGCCACGTTTTGATGTACTGCAACTTCGCTTCGAGCAGTGGCAGGTCTTTTACGTTCGCGTGGCTCTCCAGGACGCGTTGTGTGAACTGTGGCAAAATAGTAAAAAAGTTGGTTGACATATTGTGTTGCGACATATTTTTACATAGACTTAGTTTTTAAAGCAGCGTGCGCGGACGCGGCGACGTCGCGCAGCTCACTGATCGATCAGTAATAACGCTGCTCATGAGGAAGAACCCCTCTGTAGTTTGAAACTAGTAGAGCTTTTCTCAGTATATTTGAGTAACCCGCGATTTTAGTTAATTTACACTTAGTTTTGTGTTTAAGTTATTCTGGGCAAGTGCTTTCCCTATACTTGTTATATTTTTGGTAAGTGCTTTGAGTGCCATCTCTGACTACGCTCAATGTTGCCAGACAAATATCAAACTATTTACAGAATAAAATATAGATTAAAATTAAACTGAGTATGTTTTAATTTATCAAATGGAATTTGCCAACTGGCTTTCAATTTCTTTACATATTTTTTTTACACATTTTTTTATTTTCATTACTTTACACATTTACTATGTAAATGTAAAAATCATATCAATATAAACTAATTTCACAGATCATATCTAAAGGCTTGAAACACACATTATACCTTACAATACAACAAATGTACTTTACATATTTATTTAATTACCTTGCTCTTGAGCTTCTTGAGGAACCGTGGCGCGAGGTAGTTCTCAGGCTGCAGATGGTCTAGATGTGGCAGGGAGTGCTGGTTGAGTGCGGCGGCAGGCTGCGGTCTCTGCAGCTGGAGGAGAGAACGTACTGCTGCAGCTTCGGTTGCAAACGCCGAGTCTGCTAGCGAACGACCTCTAGATCCCAGGCGACAGGCTGCTACCCATTCCGCATACTGATCCTCCTGTAATTAAACGGCAATATTCATTATAGTTTACGTACTTAATTAAGATATCAATACTTTTCACGAGGTGACTCGATTAGTTTCAAGCCTCGCTTGGGGCTTATAGTCATGAGCAACAATAAGCGACAAATGGTTGACCCAAATTGTAGAATAAAACTATAGGCATATATAGAAAAACTTACATTTTCACATTTGAGCCACATTTCATGCATGGCGTCCTCTGCCGGCACCTCTAGCTTGATGCTGTAGCGACCTGACGCTGGGTGCGCGTCTGGAGTCACCTGCGGAAGGAATAACGAATGTTTCATCGGGAAGAACGTCAAATAATACAATGAACATTTTCTAGTGTAGAAATAGGTGCTTTTCAGTCCATTCTCTCCAATCCATACTGTGACGGTGCTCTTAAGATGGATAAATATCTACATTAAATACCTTACATTATTTTAACTTTAACATTTTAAAACAAATCAACTACTATTATCACCCTTTATAAGTTACCAAAGATCCTTACCTCAGCTCCACGCAGTTCCACAGCATAGGACGGGGCTTCGCCCTTTCCAGCAGCCTCGCGAGACGAGTGGATACGCAACACGCCGTCACGACATGACACCCAGCCACGTTTGTACGCCTTCAGAGTAAAACGTTTGGGCCTGTACAACATTAATGAAGAATTATAAACAGGAACAATCCTATAACCATACTTGTTCATACAAAAGTAGTATCTAAATATTAGAATTAAGGTCTATAATGGGGTAGGTGAGAGAGGACACTAAAGTCCTTTTGGTTATTTTGTTACTTAGTTCTCTGTTTTATGAAGTTTAAAAGGGAATAGGGTTTAGAAATGGCTCACTTTGCGAGCTTAAAACCAAGTAGCGATTTTGATAGTCATTTGATATTGTGACCACAGTTACAAATACCAAATGACTATAATTGTTAGTTTAAACTTGTTTCAATATTCTGTGAAGAGAATAACATGAAAAAGAAATAATAATTAACAGAATAGGATATTGGAACAATAATATAAATATAACATCACGGCTTTTTAGCCCCGAAAGAGTAGGCAGAGGCGCACAATATGCACTGCCACTACAATGTAACACCCACTTTTCACTATTTATGTTATGAGTCCCATGTAATAGGGGGCGAACCTATTGCCATATACCGGGCACAATTCTAAGTGCTACTACTGAGATTTTTTAAAAACCGAGTAATACTTTGCTCGACTCGGGAATCGAACCCGAGACCCGGCAGTCGCACTCACGACCACTCGGCCAACGAGGCAGTCACAACAGATATTGGAACAATCACAACAAAATATATTTAAAAGGTAAGTAAGTACGTATATAGAGGTAAATACCACAGGTAACATACAATTAAATGGACATATACAGATTTGGTCGATATTGTTATAATATTAATTGGAATCATTATTATTTGGTTACATTAACGACATTTAAATAATGTGTAATTACAATATGTTAATCAAGTTTTAAAACAACGAAATACATAATACATAGTTTGGGAAACATTCATCAAACGATTCACAATTTATTCAATCGATTCTGAACTCAACTAGCGTAAAATAATATTGCAAGTAAAATGTATGTTATGTAAGATTTGTTTATTGGTGCATTCATTCGTTATTTCTATGAAGATTACAGAGTTCAAAATAGATTGCACAAAAATAATATATTAAAATGGCTACCGTTAATTTCTAATTGAATTGGTTAACGATTAATCGAATATTCAAACGCAACTACACAAAATCTATTGTTATACATTTTGTGTAGTTGTTATAGATGTTATGTTTAACATCACGCCTATTTATCCCCGAAGTGGTAGGCAGATATGCACATCACTGCATTTAATACAATGTAACACCCACTTCTCACTATTTATGTTATGAGTGTAATTGGTGGTGAGCCTATTGCCATATCGGGACACAATTCCAGACTCCATGCTACTACTGAGAATTAAAAAAAAGAACCCAGTTACACTTTGCCCGACCCGGATCCGAGAACCCTTGCCTAGCAGTTGCATTTAGGACCACTCGGTCAATGAGGCAGTCGACAAAATTTACCTATACTAATATGATAAAACTAAAGATTGTTTAAACGCGCTCAACTCCGAAACTACTGGTTCAAATTGCATAATCTCTTTTGTGTAGGATAGTCCATTTATTGAAATAAGCTATAGGCGATATAACATCTCGTTAAGATTAATAGGAGCTGGGCAGCGGGCGAAATCGTACAGGAGTAGCTAGCAAGCCTCTACATAAGAGGAATTTGTTCCCTCTTATGTAGATGAGGCCCAACAATGTCGTTCTCGTGTTTTTTTATTTGGTTTATTTTATTTAGCGTTTGAATATTCATTAGTGGTGGATAAACATACAGAAGTGTGTTAATGAAGGTGGTATGAGGTTTATGACAAGAATCTTACGCGAAGGCACAGTAATCGTTGTTACACTTGCTGGCCGCCAAGATGGAAGAAACAAATATAATGTAAATATATAGAAATTATAAAATATAGAAGAAATAAGGTACATGTAAGTACGGCAGTTCAAGCCACAATTTTTGTTATTCGATTTTCGACTTTACACCAAAACTAATAAAGTTGAAAATGGAATAAAGAAAGACAGAGAATAGCTTGACCTGCTGGTCTGTACTTAAATAAGAATATGAATATGATGTACATTCTATATTTGAATAGAAATAATAGAATTGTTATTGACAAATATGTTTTGGAAGATACAAAAATAATAAGAATAAAATAGCTAGAATGATATGAACAATATGTAAATTTTGAAGAATGAAAACAATTTGAAACCTACAATATGAGCTACAACGTACGCATACACATGGCTTGGTACATTTATTACGTTTAACAAAAACCAGACCCCTGATTGGTTGGTTTATTGGAGCGGGCCAATCAGAGCGCTGAACGTCATGAACGTTTCGATCATGTTAAACGTATAGCAAACCCGTACTAAGTTCTCAGTTCAAAATCGACCTACCTACATATGCCAAACTACAATCAACCTTACGATTAAAGAAAACAAGAGTTAAAATTAAAAACACTTACCTAAGGTACTTAAGATAGGAAGCAAGCTCTGGTACATGTGTGATGTCGTTATGTGGTGCTGGTCCTCCTTCTAACTGAGTTTGTAAAGCTGAGAGTGCCGCATCAATTTCATCCTCTGGCGCATTCGCTTGGGACGTGGCTGTGCCATCTGCCGCATCCAAACTACCACCAGCTAACGTTTGTAACTCGATTTGAAGCTGTAATTGTAAGAGATTAGAGTTAATTATTGTGTGTGATATTAGTCTGATCATTAAGTAGGAAATAAGGGGTTGCCTGGAAGGTTTCTGGGAGTTACATTTTTCCAAGATGGCGGCACGAGCGGCCCACGTATAAAGGTGCGAAATGGAAATGGAACGGAGCTCATCAAAATGTACAAAATTGCCAATTTTCTAAGTTCCCGGAAACATTTTAAGGTAGATATAACCAGTTACTGAATTAACTGTGAAGATTTGAATTTTTGGTCGAAATTATATGAGTTTTAAGAAACCAAGTGCAACAATCTAGTGGTCTGCAACAAGTTATGAAAGTACATAACAATATTATTATGCATTTTTATTAAGTCTAAAAACTTAGCTATGTTCTAAACTAACATAATAATAGTCTTCAGTAAGATACTTATTTCAGTTTTAAATCAAAACATCGGTATAATTGTTAATTGAATTATCTACTTATCTAGTGTATTCAATGAACACTTATACATTTTTAGAAATTCCCATCTCATTGCAAACCTAATCAGCAAATTATCTCCACTGGTATTAATGGAAAAGACGTCCTAAGGTTTTGACTGTCAATAGAAAACTCTTGAAGGCAAACCTCGGTCACCGGTGACCCCCATGGCGTTTGATGTATTAACAAAACTCCCCCAAAAGTATATTGAGGCCAATTACCCCTTCCCCCTTTCCAAATCCAAATCCCCAACAATCCTCAAATTCCTAATCTCCAAAAGACCGGTAACGTACTTGTAACGCCTCTGGGGTTCCAGGTGTCCATGGGCGACGCCGATTGCTTACCATCAGGTGATCCGCCTGCTCGTTGACCGGTTTATCCCATAAAAAACGAGATATTTACCTGTAACGCTGCAAATAACAGCATTTCTTCCTCAGTACACTGAACTTCTTGGTTCAGTATCTGCCAGCGAGCTTGTTGGTACAGCTGGTTCAGTCGCGCCGCGTCCTGCGCACGCGCAGTCAGGTCGAAGAAGGAGTAGAATTTGAAACGAAGCTGTAGGGTGTTCCATTCTCGGACGTACTGCTCCATTATGGAGAGAGATGAGTCGAGCCAACTGTGAAGATGGAGTAATTAATATTTAATGAGGTAGATAGACTCACGCAAAAAGACTATGAGTACAGCGAAGAGGAGAGTAATTGTTCAGGTTTCTTGAACTCTTCAACTCACAAAGATTCTAACTCTGGAAAGAGTGGCTTATAGCGCCAGGAGAACAAGATGTCAAAATGTACAACTTATTCTTATACATCCGAATACTGAAAGGTTACTCAGTTTTAATTTGGACTTAAATATCGTAGCATCTCTTTCATTTATAATTTGTAGTGACAGAACTATACGCGCGACTTAAAGTGAGTGGCGTTTGAGTAATTGGACATTAGTCTATTTGTTTACTACCAGTACCTACTTCAATGAAACGAATATACTGTTACTTAAAATCGTTTTCTAATCGTTTAATGGACCAAAGCAGACGAACTTGTTACGCATCTGTCAACATTCCAGCCTTGATATCGCTGAGATTTTTTAATTTAAAAAGTCTTCAACTTTGATATGTTGGACGACTTCATCAAGACATTATTCATTTACAATAAAACAAAGAATCTCAATAAGTCTGCTTCAGAAACGAAAAGGTCAGTCGCTTTGGTAGACATATTATGTAAATACGTACATAAATACATTTAATTTCATTACATAGTTATATTATAGTATTTTGAAACAAATTAATAGCTGATGATGTCATTTAAAGAAGTATGCGGAAAAGTCATAAACAAAATAAGGTTAAATTAATACATACCCAACATTCATTCTAGCACGTTCCATGAGAGATTTGGGCGTTAATAGAGACTCTCGTGATTGGGTGTCAGGCTCTAAGGGGGAGTCTGCTAGAGACAGCTCGGCTAGAGAATCGAGAGCATCTAGAGAGGCAGCTCTGGGCGGGGTACTACCGTATCCCCCATCGCTTGATCCGTCACTCTGTGTGCTGTATAGACCACCGTAACGACGGAGAGTGCCATTCTGGAAAAAGGACGATATTTTTTAGGTTTTAAAGATCATTTTACAGATCTGTCTATTGCCATATGAAAAGTAAAGTTAGTTCTTAAGATCGCAGAGTAAAGACCAAACTTAAATTTTTCATCAACGTCAAAAATAGCAACGAAACAACAATAACGTTAAACAGGAAAATTTATTAACAAACTTATGCATGTAACACAAACAGTACATGACAGGAAACAGATGCATTTTCCTGCACCAATTTTGTATAAACCAATGAATAAAAATGTTATAAATAACTCGTGAATTATCTTTAACCAACGAATGAGCTCATAAGTCGGGGTTTTGTTACAAGTACGCCATTTTGTTTAATATATCCAACTTTTTTGAGAAATTCAGCTTCTGAACAAGAACGATTTTAATATAATGCATGTTGAAAACGTTAAGGTTTTGGGTTCCGCAAGGGGCGTTATTGGGATCGTCGCAGTTTATTGTATTCAATTTCGACAATTTGAAAGTTTTAGAACCAGATTTTGACTAGATCGACATTATCAAGACAAAACTTACTTGTTGTGCAACCGGGGTAGCGGAGAGTGATCGTGGTGGAGGCGGTGTCGCAGGACAGGGTCCATTAGACCTGTCCAAACTATTTGAGGAGCCTCTTGTGGCTGCTATAAACGTGTTGGTGTCTGGAGGCTGTGACGACTTTATCCTTTTCGCTTCCTTCAAGTTCTGGTAGTTCTGTTTAAGATGAGAGGGTTCTAAGGGGTAACAGAGGGAAAGTTCCTCTGGGTGTCGAATTCCTGCAAAAGAAAATAATATAATCGTCTCGAGAGTATTCAACCGTCTTTTTCTTTGAATAACACAAGAGTTTAAACAAACTTAAGAAAACATACATGGATTTGTAGTAAGAAAATATGCTATAACAACATACTAAACCGATCAAAGATAGCTATAAAAAATCAGTAGCTATTTTCGTCTCCCAAACATGAAAAGGCAAATGTTCTCATAAACAAATACAATATTAAATAGTGGTAATATCAAGAGCGAGCATCGAATGGGTCCTTCAGAATAAACATTCGAGTTTTACGAGTTGATCGACTTTACGAGCATTAACATTTGGATGAGATAAAATAGAGGTACATTGATGTTCGAAGTTTAGTTAGTTCTTGTAGCCGAATAAGGCATAAAAGTCAGATCGTAAATCGACTAACCGTTACAAAGTGTTGAAACGTAAAACTTTTCGATATAAAATCAATACGACCTTTACGAACTCCGAAGAAAATGATATTGGAAAACATCGATAAAGATTTTAACGGTTTGATTAGGTAAAATTTTGGTTGTATCTAAATTAGGATCTTGTGGTTTTATCTGCTTAGAAATGGCTCCTTACAATATCATTTGCTAAGACCATTCAATGTAATTTAAATTTCCAATATATAAATGAATAAATAATTGTAATCGCTGTGCTGTAATCAACAGTCAATAAAAAATTGAGCCACAATACAACTGATTCAATCAACACCAACCAATTTAATAATATCGATGCGATAAATAATACAGAAAAAGTACTTACCAAGACTTTTACAAAGTTGTACAACGGCGCTAAAGGTGTCTATAGAGAAGTCAATCTTGCAGTCAATGTATCTGAGGTCCGGGAGCTGGATTCTGATAGGTTTGTGCATAGGAGTGAAGTGGAGGGTGGCATCTGCGTGGACTCCGTATTGGTCCAATGTGTGCTTCGGTCGAGACAGCCATTTGTTACGTGTGGGCCACCAGAGTGCGTGATCTGACCAGTCCTTTTTGAATTCTGAAAAGATTAAAACAGCATTGCAATCAATTGTATTCGACGTTTTTATAGACAGACTTATAGAGATGGTAATTGTAAAAATCATGTTTGCGACATAAGTAACATGAGAACACATTGACAAACTATTTTTATAAGATAGGTTTCATTACAGACAAGTTTTAAAAAACATCTATTTATTTGATCACTAATAACAAGAAAGTAGGTAACGTCTGGTCTTATAATTTCAAATACTAAACTTGTGTAAATTCTCAATACTCCGTGAGAAATATGTAATTTCTTAACAACACTACCTATAACTTGCAAACATGAATAGTTACTCGTGAGAGTTAGCACGTAATTAAATAAAATGGCAAGTTTCTTCATAGACCATCATGCCCTTGACGACCATAATAAAATGAAACATAGAGAAAACGCTATAAAGCCAGCTGTAAAAATAAGTGTTGGTAATAAAACAATAACAAGACCTTTATAGATAGGTCGTAGGAAACAATGAATGAAGGACTTGAGCATCACTAATACTCTTAAATACACATGGCTGTCATTAACGATGAATGAAAGAAATCTCATCATCTGGCGAATGAACCCGTCGTCGAAAAAACGATCGGATTGACGTCATATGTAAAGGACGAACTGTAAAACATTGTAGAGCTTCGGGAACCCTTTCTACCGCAAGATGGGCGTGCAGGGGAGCTACGGACATACTGGTTTTCGCTGTCGTGTGCATTTTGTTTCGCTTCCGTTGAATCGTAAGTCACATGAGCTGTAGCCGTAGACGAACAAACTATAACATATAATTTGCTATGACTCATAGTAAGAAAAACCTTATAGATTGATACACTTTTAAGGTGTGCTGTGATTTCAAGTTCATTGGACCGTTTCATTTTGTTTTGACAACAGTTTATGGCGATCTGTTGTTGTAATATGTTAAATTTATTCATAAAACAGTTAGGTATTAGGCTTCTGAAATAAAGGAAAACTGTTGTTTTTGTATTCGTTGTCAGTACAAACCGCAGTATATAACCTAGTACCTACGTAAACAAGTCCTTACGTGAATATTTACATAATAATTTACTAGAACCCGTTAGGTAGACGTTTGCGTGGACTGGTAGTAAATCAGTAGCTGTTCAAACGCTGGGCAGTATTTAGATTCCAATCGCTTCATTTGTTTATTGTGTATGCAAGATGGAGTAGAACTACTAAAGATCGAAGGTAATAAGTGAATAGAGATCTTCAGAACCCTTATTATTATGTAGCAATGACCAATGACCTCTGAACTCTGATCATTTCTAATCTATCAGACCTGGTTCATAGCTTTTATAATGGCATGCAATTAGTCCGGGTACTGGTACCATATAATGCGCAGTCTTATGAGACCGTCACCTATCCGACCCCTTGTTTTATTCTAAACAAAGTGCATCAACAACATTGTTCGGTAACTAGAACAGTTTATTTATAAACATGATGAATTGTTGTCTGCTGCAGTTATAAATAAAGTTGTTGGGAATGACAAGAATAAATTGGAAGTATTGGACAGTTTGTGTCAAGGTGTAAATGTAGACTTGACATCACAGAATCAGAACAGGCCAAATGTGGTCACAGACGATAATGAGGTCTAGAAGGAGGTCAATGATGTCTAAATGTTCGATACAATTTGCGGGTAAAAAATGGAGAAACCCAAAAGCTAAAGGCTATCGCAGGTCATATACTTTTTGGCTGGGATCACGAAGATTACAACGTTAATTTGAAGGCGGTACTTTTAGTTGATGTTGCAGTTGTAAATAAAGTATTCTGAATGAAAGACAAAAGAACCACAACAACGATTATTCTCAGTCTGTTTAGACTTCGGTTAGTAGGCAAGCATAAAACATGGTACAGGGAAACTGATTGAATGTAATACTTATTTCTAGGAAAAACGTGACAGACGGCAATCACGTTTTACTATAATAATGGTGACGTCATCCCATCGATCATTAAATTGTATGATCTGAGTAGAACATGTTCAACGTGGCCCGTATAACCCGCACTCAGCTTATGAGTCACAATGTCAAAATGTGCATCGGCAGAGTAGAGCGATGCAGTCAGCCTTCCAACAGTCATCTGTTTATTTAACTCAATATAATATCGTTTGTTTTGCACCACTGCGTTGAAGAACATATTAGTTTAGCAAAATTCCAACATTATCATCTCATGTGCATTGCTTCCCATTAGAATTTTAATTAAATTATTCATCGTAAGCTAACACATAAATATACTTCATCATTATCGTCGTGTAAACACATTGCCATATAGTAACAATGCACATAGATAGCAGGTTCGGCTCCTGCGGAGTGTATGACCATATTTGTTCAAAGATAAGTTGGATAGACGCGTTTCGCATCTACCGCTTTCGCAATTTTACCACCCCGATCACGTAGTGTGATTTCTTGCTCAAGAAATACTTTAGGATTCTAAAATACCTTTGTTGGAAACATGTTTCCTATACCACGAAGAAGCTTGGCTAAAATGTTGCCGTATCCAAAAGAGACATCGTTAAGCATGAAGCCGTAGTCAAATAAGGAGGATGTACGCAAGTACCATATATAACAAATTCTGACTTTGTATTTGCAATTCCTATGCAATGTTTATATTTTGAGATAATTCACGAGAAGATAAGCGTAACCGATAACTGCAAGGTGAAGCGGTTAAACGCAGTTGTTAAAATATTTTATAATTATATCAAAATATTTTAACGATCACTCGTTTAATCGTATTCATGCTCAAGGATCTTAAAGATCAATTAATTATTCCTGTGGTTACTCACGTTGATCCTTATAAGGACGATTGTGGCCAATGTTGAGGCGCCGATACCATACTTTTATAGCACAGCACCTTACTCGATATAGATCTTAATGCGTATGACGACTGTAAATCGATTTTTTCCGATTTATCGATAAGAAGATAAGTTCTAAGGACATGGGGTAACAGGATATTAGATGTCTTAAAGGGTTTTCGCACGTTCGATAAATCTTTTTATCTCAGTTAGAAGAAACGAATAAATGATGCAATGAATAAAAACATAAGGTGAATGCATGCATGTGGAAAGACTCTTAACTCAAACAATACACGATTGAGTCTGAGTTTTGTAATATTTAACTCTGTTCTTTATGACAACATTGTTTCGTAAGGTCCCCCTACTAATTGGTTAGTTATTCTCAGAGTTATCGACAGTTATGTGGGACAAGATAGTTTATTTATGGTGGCAGACAGTTTCTGCGCCTGCCGTCTCGACATTATAATGTGTTGACAGCTCAGCGTAACAAAATATGAACGTGTGCGCCAAGGGACGAAGAAGGGAGATAAGATAGTATCAAATAACACAAACATAGCAAAAGCAGTTCAAGTGAAAGTAATTTAGTAGCTCGAACGACTGATAATAACTATAAAGGTAAATGGAATCGAATGAAATAGAGAAGTTAGAAAAATAACACATTCACATATGTTCGAAGCGGACGCATTAAGATTAAGTTGTCATAAATGAGTTAGTGACGGTACATAGCTAAGTCGTAAAGAGTATTATTTTTTAGAGCACGAGGGGAATATGTTTTAAAAGAAAGCAGTTACCTATAAAAATGTATGTACGATAATCGAAACGATGACGAAGTATGGTTTGTAGTGTCTTCATTCAAGACCACAGTAAATTGCTTTATAATGAAGATACAGCTAAGTATTCTCCTTCAATATTTTTGATGAATATTGAAGCATGCATTGTATACGATGTAAATTTAATAAATGGGTTAATACGTTCCAGAAACTGGAACGATCGCTTGGTAAATTGTAAATTATGAATGTAGGACGTCTCGCCAATTTTATTGCTCTTATACTACGCTCGACTGCTTTACTAAAATCTTTGAAGCCTTTGTGTATGTGCACTTACCTAGGCTACGACATACATTATTAATGAATTGATTAACATTTACATTAAAAATACTAGATGGTGAATACAGACGTGCAAACATAAGATGACAACACCGAATCGTGGAAGGTTAAAATAGAGATGTTTTAAATTATGAATTATACTGTTGACAGACTTTAGGTAACATTATTATTTCCAAGAATTAGTCAATTGAATAAGTAGTTGCGAATGGTCAGTCATAGGACAAACACGTGTAGGCAAGGCACCATTTACAATAATTGGGTTCAAGCTAAGCTTACAGGAAGTTTGTGCAGCGAACGAAACTAGGCCATTGGATGAACACGAGAACATGATAAAACCAGCAATGCAGTATTACGTTAGTGTTATCTATTTTATAGTAACCTCACGTACGCAACGCAAGTTTAACCACGACTTAGCAAGTAGTTAAGTTTACACAGAACAGCAACTTGGTCAAACATAAAACAGGCAAAGTAATTAAACTAACCGTTATCTTTACTAATAGTAAATAAATCTTGGAGTATCGTAAAACAAATAGGAGCCAACACGAACTCACGCGCAGCCCAACGTTTTGTTTATATTCAATGATTTATGTATGTTCTTATCCCAATTTCAATGCGACAGTGTGTTTGCTAAAACAATGTTTAAGTAGATGTTGAGGAATTTGGAAGCAGTACATTAGAATAAGAAAGCAAATAGCAAATGTTTGTTGTTTTTTTTTGTAATTAAGGGTATCACGCTAAGTGTAAAGGAATACACAGACTTCGTGTATGGCTATAAATTATGTTTTAATGATATGAAAGCAAATGATACAAAGATAATGCTAATAAATACACCGGTATTATAAGATATATCTTAGTCAAGACAGCCCCATCAGTAAAGGTCCTAGATACGCTCCTTGCGGTACACCTTATGATGATCTACAGGCCAGGTTTACACAAGACATACAGAGATCCGCTTTGAGATTATGGCAGTAACAGTAAACTGCTTAGAAATAAAACGTCGTAAGATTGCCAAGATTATTTTTAATTTTAAGCCATGTTTCTGTGGATAAAAGGTTTAGATTTACAGCGTCGTAAGCTTACTATAG